GGGTTGGGAGCGATGGGCGAAAATTCCCGCCATCGCTTGGCGTCCCTTGCGGGACGGACCGGGCGTGCTGATAATGGGGGGAGATGTCCCCCCCGACATGATATTGGCTATCTAGTGGGCAGCAGCAGGGTCACCAGGCATCAGTGCCTTATTAAATTACAAATGAATTAGAAATATATAAAGATACAATCCCTTACGGGGGTTCAGACCGACTGAATAAATACTTATAAATAATATTATATATAAATATGGTTCCGGTCTATTGATGCTACTTATATAACTATTGGACTATATAAACTTGCTAATTTGGAAAGAATTAGAATAAAATAAGTAATAAAAGAAGTAAAAGAACTAACTACACAATACCATACAATAATACGATAACAGACAACGAACATACGTAGTCATGCATTGAGTCAGCGGGTTGTCTGCAGGCAGCCGCTGACCACGGCTTCGACCGGGAGCCACGAACCTAACACCAGATCAGTGAGATCGATGTCAAGCCCGAGCCCACGGTCGCGCGATCAATACCGCTGCTCCCTACCGACTTACTCACCAAGTCAATGCGACCCAGAAACAAACAAACAAACAAAGAATAATTTGGAAATTACTGGTGTTAGTTTAATTAACATCAGCTTTTTCACGAACAAACAAGACGAACAGGCAGGTTAAATCGGTCACTAAAAATTTAATTTAATACTACGAACATAAAACGTAAAGGTAAGCTTACAATCTATGGGCAGTCGTCAGTCGGATTACGTAGCTAAATTAAGGTAAAAAAATTAAATGTATTGAAATCTAAAAATATTAAAGTGAAAGAGGGTAGAAATGGAGGAATTCTGTAATTTGGAAGAAGGAATGTGTGTTATTTCAATTTAAAATAAAACAACGATTCCTATTGGCTATAGATGTGGCAAAACAAGTGATGTGATAAGGGATTGTTGTAAAGCTGAGAGCAGACTATTAATTTAAAATGAATTAATTTAATTGATTTTTTTATTTTTATTTATTTATTAATTTATCAAAACTAGGTTTAACTGAGACTAAGGGGGTGGAAACTATGGTGGTAACTATACTAACTAAAAACTATTATTTACACTAATCTAAACTAAACTAACTAAGGCACCTACACCCATGTACTCTAGCCTATACTGATCCGACTGCCAGTGAATTTGCAGCGAGGTAGGCCCCTTATTTATGGTCGCCCACGCGCACTCGGCCAGCGCTATTATGAGTCCGAGCACGGTGGGCGTCTATTGTTCTCTCGGCCGCCTCGCTCGCCTATTGTTTGCCTGGTCGCTCCATTAGTGCTCGCCCGTATTGTGACTCGCTCCTGCGTTCCCACGCCAAATTAAAGACCACGAGGACCAATCTTTATTTACAAACAAAATATAACATTGCAAATTATCTTATTTTCTATGCCTAACTATTCCTATTTACATTCTCTCTATTTATTTCACAGCTATTTTTCACATACTATCTACGGACATTTATAACTATTTATTCTCGATTTTAACAATTTTTTTTTTTTTTTTTTTTTTTTTTTTTTTTTTTATTACGGACATTTTCTATAACTATTTTTAACACTATCTATGTCCGTCGCGAACAATATCTATTAAGCGGCATTTATTTATGTCCGTCGCGAACATTATTATAACTCTGCTCCGACACGTACAGCCTTCTTTATTAATTAACAGCTGTATGTTTTGTAGCATGGTTTCGGATTTGAGAAATCGACCTCATGTCTCAAGATGGCTTACGGAATTCATTTTGTAATTTCAATAATCTCAGGGACCCCACTTAACATCAAGTGGACCGTGCTATTATTGTTGATTTAAAGAAAGAAAAGTACCAGGGTATTATGATATCAAAGAGATATTATTATTATAACTCTGCTCTGACGTACAGCCTTCTTTATTAATTAACGGCTATATGTTCTGTAGCATGGTTTCGGATTTGAGAAATCGACCTCATGTCTCAAGGTGGTTTACGGAATTCATTTTGTAATGTCAATAATCTCAGGGACCCCACTTAACATCACGTGGACCGTGCTATTATTGTTGATTTAAAGGAAGAAAAGTACCAGGGTATTATGATATCAAAGAGATATTATTATAACTCTGCTCTGACGTACAGCCTTCTTTATTAATTAACGGCTATATGTTCTGTAGCATGGTTTCGGATTTGAGAAATCGACCTCATGTCTCAAGGTGGTTTACGGAATTCATTTTGTAATTTGATTAATCTCAGGGACCCCACTTAACATCCCGTGGACCGTGCTATTATTGTTGATTTATAGGAAGAAAAGTACCAGGGTATTATGATATCAAAGAGACGTGAGTTGTAAGGTCTCACTTTTAACAGTACACGACAAAAAATTATGTAATTGAAGAATTGAATTTGTATTTTTTTGAAATTTCGTTTTTAATAGTTTTAAGCTTTAAAGCGCATAACTTAAAGCTTAAAATGTGCGCTTGATTTAAAAAGACTGAAAATAAATTATTTTTTTTTTTACTAAAATTTAAATTTAATTTTTAATTTTATTTTAGAAATTCATATAACACATGCTTATAAGGCCCATCTGATGGTGAGTGGTTACCGTCGCCCATGGACTTCAGCAATGCCAGGGGTAGAGCCAAGCCGTTGCCTACCAAACAAAAGAAAATATGAACCTCATTTTCTTAATATTTTTTTGTTAAGCCAATTCAGTTCTAAAGACTTATATATTTAAAGGCTAAATTCGTTCGTCAGTCCTCAGGCGAACCGAAGGCGGTGACGAGGACCATCGCGAAGAAACCGATCGCTTCGAAGAGCACCGCGAAACCGCCCCACGTCGACAAGTCGAGCAAAAACGCACGTAATGACCTAGGGAATAAGAGTTAGTATCGTTTGCTAATTTATTTGGAAAACCAACAGTATACAATACAATAGTACATTTTGTACCAAGTGAGAAAAGTTGGACATTTCCTCCCGCGTGTAAAAATTCCGATTGGCAAACACGCTGGAGGAAATGTCCAACTTTTCTCCCGCGGTGCACATACTATTTTTTCTCCTACCAGGCCGAAAGCTCGTGGAGTACCGAGCCGGGGTCCAGGGGCAAAGCCCTGGCCGGGGGTAGGGGGGGGGGGGTGGAGTCCCCCGTACTCATCAAAAAACAATTTAACTGTTTTTTAATTTTCAAATAAACTACTACTAATTGAATAAGAAATGTCTCTCATCTGTGTTTAATACTTCACTATTAACACCAGGTGGGCTGTGAGCTCGTCCACCCATCAAAGTAATAAAAAAAGTTTTTTTTTTTTTTCAAATATAAAAAATATTGTTTTTTTTTTTCACAGATAAAAATGCGACGTCGCGACTGAAGCAAATATCTGAAAACGACAGGAAGTTCGATGAGCTGTTGGCCAACAAGCCAGGCGGCGCGGGGCGGGCGGGGGGCGGGGGCGGCGGGGACGCGGGTAGGTTGCGCGATCACCGGCGCAAGCGATTGTGACCCTTATTGAGTTTAAAAAGACTAACAAAATACGCTTTTATAGAAAATCCAACTAAAAAAATAGAAAATGAATTTGAATTAAAAATAGTGTAAGAAAAGGTGATTTTAATGTAAAAAAAAGCGTGGAGTGCATTAACTATTATTAATTTTAATTTTTTTTAGTTGAATTTCAATTTTTTCAATATTTTTTTTAAATATTGAATTGTCATTAAAAACATTGATTACAATTTCTGTTAAAATCATGTGATAATGTATTTGAAGTCGTCGTTTCCTAAAGGATAAGACGTCCGGTGCATTCGTATCGAGCGATGCAACGGTGTTCGAATCCCGCAGGCGGGTACCGATTGAAAACATGAGTGAATGAATGGATTAAGTACACATTAAGATTTTTGAGTTTTTACGTTGAATGACGGTGCCTATGAACGATATTAGACCTTAAAACTCCGGACTTAAAAGCTATTTTTAGAAATTCATTGCGATGAAGGAGCGAAATAGAGTACAAGTAGCAAAAGTTTGTTGCCAGTTTTCTCAAAATTAACAAATTGTATCATATCATATCCGCCTTCGTCCACACGTGTCTTCAATTTTTCTAATAAAATATGTTCTTAACAAATGTTGACGATTGACTTCCACGGTGAATAAAAATCAAAACCGCAAAAAATATTTTTTTTGTAACTGGGCTGTCTTGTGAAGCGCGTTTACTTTGTTGTTGCCCATGGGCTCTGGTAGCTGCGTAACGCTTTGATTTCGACCCTCAGTGATGGCGCAGTCGCAGACGCCCCGGCCGGCGAGGTCGGTCGAGAGTGATGAGATAATCGATGAGGAGGAGTTCCTTGAAGATGAGGAGGACTTCGAACTTGATGACGAGGTACGTGGTGGTCCGTGACCAACCGGAAGCGGGAACCGGATTCGAATCCGTTGAAGCTTCATATGAAATGTGTTACCTTACTAAGTCCCAATATCGATGATTACAATGGTATTGTTACGCCGGTAAGAGTAACGCCATCTATCGCCGAATATTCGAACGAATATCGAAGGATCTAGTGGAGCCCAGAACGCTCGAGAAGTACAACGCCATCTATTGACAGATATCGGAAACTACTACTAGAGATGTGTGGAATATTCTCGATAGTTCTAGGGATGCGGTATCGGCTATAAAAGTGTTGCAGAGATGGCACGCAGTTAATTAGTAATCGGAACTACTCGAAGCGAAACAGCGAACGGATCACCTGAAGCGAAGCGGAAGAAGCGAAATGAGAGTTTTAAAGTGTTTGTTGAGTGTTTTAAGTGCTTTAAGTGTTGAATACAGTTTTTAAGTTGTACTTACTACAACCTACTGCCGCTGCCTACTTTGCGGTAGGCAGCGGCTTGGCTCTGCTCCTGGCATTGCTGAAGTCCATGGGCGACGGTAACCACTTACCATCAGGTGGGCCGTACGCTCGTCTGCCTACAAAGGCAATAAAAAAAAAACTTAGGTGTTTTTTTTTATCCCGAACACCAGCGCGTAACATTATAATATTGTTACGCGCCAGGGTTCGGGATAAATAAATAAAAATTCTGCCGAAGTACAAATTGAAACTGCATTAGCACTTAGAATACTCACAGAACACCTTAAAATTGTCAATTCGCTTCTTCCGCTTCGCTTCAGGTGATCCGTTCGCTGTTTCGCTTCGAGTAGAATCGCCTACTAACTGATTTCGTGTCATCACTACAACGCTTTTATAGTCGATACGACATCCCTAGATTTATCGGGAACATTCTGGGCAAGTTGAGTAGCTTCGATGCGTGCTTCTGCTATCTGACAATAGATGGCGTTGTACGTCTCGAACTTTCTCGACGATACAAGTTCCTTTGGTATTCATTTCGGCTATTCGACGATAGATGCTGTTACTCTTACCGGAGTAACAATATTTAAAATGAATATCTTTTTATTTGTTACAAAGTTCGATGAGGAGTCGGAGCTGGATGAAGGGAAGCAGCGCATCATGAGGCCGGAGTACATGGACGAGGAGGTGCCCTCGGACGCCGACAGCAGATCTGATGAAGGCAGCCTTTATGATGTAAGGGTTTTGCGTGTTGTACTAGACCAGTCAAATTTCTTACTGGTGGTAGGACCTCTTGTGAGTCCGCGCGGGTAGGTACCACCGCCCTGCCTGTTTCTGCCGTGAAGCAGTAATGTGTTTCGACTTGAAGGGTGGGGCAGCCGTTGTAACTATACTGAGATCTTAGAACTTATATCTCAAGGTGGGTGGCGCATTTACGTTGTAGATGTCCATGGGCTCCAGTAACTACTTAACAGCAGGTGGGCTGGGAGCTCGTTCGCCCATCTAAGCAATAAAAAAAAAATTTGATGTTAATATTTAAAAGGTTTATTAAAAAAAAATTGCTTATCTTATATCTTTAAACGAGCAATTCTTGTATATAAATCACTACATAGTATAAAACAAAGTCGCTTTCTCTGTCCATATATCCCTATGTATGCTTAAATCTTTAAAACTACGCAACGGATTTTGATGCGGTTTTTTTAATAGATAGAGTGATTGAAGAGGAAGGTTTATATGTATAATAGCATCCGTTAAATAGTGGACAAATCAATAATAAATTACAGTTTCCGAAGCGAAGCGAGGGCGGGTCGCTAATATAACATATGTATGTATATGTGTGCGATATATGTATATATACTTCAATTGATTGATACGCCGCGTGTAATTGGTTTCCAAGCGATTCTTTTCCACCTGTTGTTTTTTTTTTTTTTTTAATGCCCTTGTAATCAGACGAGCATACGGCCCACCTGATGGTGAGTGGTTACCGTCGCCCATGGACTTCAGCAATGCCAGGGGCAGAGCCAAGCCGCTGCCTACCAGTCTTTGGTCTGTTTGTTGGATTGTCTGGAAGACATCGATCTTAGCGATAAGATCGTAAATTTTTTTTTTTGTATTTATTATTCTCTCTCTCTCTCTCTCCCTCTCTCTCCCTCTCTCTCCCTCTCTCTCCCTAACACAAGATCTCTAAAAAAGGCAACAATAATCATAGTTATTGAGTATCTAGTAATGTATTGTTTGTTGAACCACATTGCAGGAGTTGCCCTCGTCGGACTCGGAAGACATGGACGACTGGTTCAGTCTGGACCTGAGGACGGAGCGCGCGCCGGACTACCTGCCGCTGCTCGGTACGTACGCCTGCCCTAGCAAGCAGGTACCTCAAGCACCAGTCACCGTCCTCGTCGAACCCGTCGCGTCCAAGAAAATAAACTGATTAAATCATTAAGATTATGAATTTTATCAAAAGTGCCAAAATAATAATTCACAAATAATGGATGAATTGAATTTCTTGAATTATTAATTGAACAGTAAATTATAATTTATAGAATTAATTACATAGAGACATCTTGATAAGACTAGAAAAAAAAAATTCACTTTCAAAATTTTGCCGCTCTGGGCACTTGCCCCACCTGCCCCTAGTGTAAACTCACCACTGCGGGTAGGCACCACCGCCCTGCCTATTTCTGTTTCTTTTTTCCTACCTAAGCTGACGCTACCTAAACCGAAGAAAAAAAGTGCTTTTCAGGATATTATCAAAATAACCCTTCTACTCATATCTGTTCATAAAATATTTATAACTACTGATACCATGCACCCCACGGTTTTTTTTACAATAAAATCATTTTTTCTTACACTATTTTTAATTCAAATTTATTAAAATTTACTTTCTATTTCTTAATTAGATTTTCTATAAAAGAGTATTTTTTTTGTTTTTTTAAACTGTTATTTATTTTTCATCTTTTAGGTGAATTTCAATTTAAAAAAAATAAATTCAATATATTTTTTTAATATTGAATTGTCATCAGTCCCTAAAAAGAATACCAAATTTCGAGTTAATCCGACGTTTTGAAGGGGGTCAAAATCATGTTCATAGATTCCGTTACAAACATACATACATACGTCTGAAGCTAATAAAAGCGTATCAAAAAGAGGCGAAGGCCCAACTCCCGGTCGGGGGCTGCCTGGGCTCGGTAATCACTACATCGTATAAAACAAAGTCGCTTTCTCTGTCTGTCCCTATGTATGCTTAAATCTTTAAAACTACGCAACGGATTTCGATGCGGTTTGTTTTTAATAGATAGAGTGACTGAAGAGGAAGGTTTATATTTATAACTAGCGGACCGCTCCGGCTCCGCTTGGGTCTTTAACAAAAATTTCAACGATATTTGACGTTGTTTAATTTTTTTAAATAAAATAACACTTATTGCGGCACTACTATATTACTTAGACATATGCTGTCGCGACACTTTTTGTAAATAATAATGTGTTCTACAAAGTCGTAGTACAATATTTTATTCTATCATCAATAGTTTTCGTAGGGCACGCGATGTAAAGAATATTTTAGGTAATTTTTTTACACCGTGGGTTACATGATTGGAGTTTTAGTAAGGATCCAAATTTTTTTTCAATAAATATTCTAGCCTATGTCACTCGGAAATAGTGTAGCTTCCAAATAGTGAAAGAATTTTTCAAATCGGTTCAGTAGTTTCGGAGCCTATTCAATACAAACAAACAAACAAATCCTTCCTCTTTATAATATTAGTATAGATAACATCCATTAAATAGTGGAGAAATCAATAATGAATTACAGTTTTCGAAGCGAAGCGAGGGTGGGTCGCTAGTAATATATAACACTTACCTATCCCCAGGTCCAAAGGCGCGCGAACTCCTCCTGGAAGAGAAGAGGCGAGTGTCGGCCCGCGTGAACACCCTCCGACAGAGTCTCAGCACTCTAACTGAGAACAGCAGGAAGAAGGCGGAGCTGGTCAGGTCCGCGACGATGGCGCTCGCCGAAATAGACGACGTCCTCAGAGCGACTTGACGAAAATAAAATAGAGCTTAACAAAAACAAAAACAAAAAAACAACACCCTGTATACTGCCTAAAAGGTCGATGACCTCTGAAAGGTCAATGACCTCTAGCTACCAAGTCCTGCCGTAGATAATAAATGGAAATGAATTTTTGTGTTTGTCTGTTTGTGATGTTTCGGGAAGGGCTTTTAGATAGACGGACGAGCTTTCAATCCGCCTGGTCTTAAGTGGTTACCGGAGCCCAGCCCAGCCCTTCAAATCGCATTACTGCTTGACGGCAGATATAGGCAGGGTGGCTGTACCTACTCGTGCGGACTCACAAGAGGTCCTACCACCAGTGGGTCCTACCACCACCCTCCACGGTGTTTTCCGAGCGCTATGACATGTCCTTCTTCAAACGAGGCTTGCGGAGAGTACTTTATGGTAGGCAGCGGCTTGGCTCTGCCCCTGGCATTGCTGACGTCCATGGTCGACGGTGACCACTTACCATTAGGTGGGCCGTACGCTCGTCTGCCTACAAAGGCAATAAATAAAAAAAAAGTAAAAAAGGTCCAGTAAATCCGGGATGGGAGTTTCTGCTGATGCTTCGCGGCGTAGTCAAATACACCCGGATATCATGTTCTTGTGGAGGGTGAGGAGTTGTAGAAAGCTCGAGCCAGGGATGAACCATGATGCCGTTAAAATTACATCTTAATATTTCTGGAATACTTAATTGGATTAAGACCAAACACAATATGTCATCGTTGTCAAACCAAAATCTACTATGTGCATGCACTTTTTGAGATTTTTAATTTTTGATCTTTTCGTTTAGTTTACAGCCCTATCTATATCTAACGTATAAAAAAAAACTGTTATGTGTCTATAGCTTTAATATTAATACGCTTTTATTAGCTTCATACGTATGTATGTTAGTATGTAACGGAATCTTTGAACATGATTTGACCCCCTTCAAAACGTCGGATTAAATCGAAAGGACAATGCCCATTTTCTATGGGCGTTTGGGCCCCTAAAAAAAGTTGTCGCGTCATGATGGTTTTAACTTAATTTGATAGACAGAGAAATATCGTTTCATATTCAGAAAACGATTTTTATATTCTCACCCAGTTTTAAGAGAAATCTGTTTTTTTTTCTGCAGCTAAAATTAAGTTGTTAATTGTTTTTTTCGAAATCAATAATCGCTTTCATCATTTTCTACAGTATTAAATAAGTTAACTGTGGTTAATGTTTCTAGAAATAAGTCCTTACGTACATTTTATTATTATTATATCCTCATCATAATAATAAAATGAAATGAAAATTCGGTAGCCGACAACGATATTGTTGTTGTTGTTTTTAAATTCGCCAATAAGCAGGCAAAGAGCGTAGCCTATACAGCCTAGTCTTTTTTATGTCAATAAAAAGCCGGTGTATCTCTTTTTATTGCTTTTTGGGAGTTTTGACGTCAATTCGATGAATAGCTCATTGAGTGAGCATGAATTTCCGCAGACCTTTTATCTTAAAAAAAAAACACGTCACCGCTATGTTAGCCACAGTTTTATTCCAATGCCTCAATAATCGTGAACAACGATTATTGATGTTTAATACACAAAACAACACCAAATTTATATATTATACATCACAATAAACTATTACAAAAATATTAAAATAAAACTTCAAGTGACGCTTCACTCGGGTTGCTGCCAAAACTCTCTGTTCATATATAATAAGATTAGAGTAATGGTAGGCCATTGAGATTTTTACTAATGGAATCATTAATATCTAAAAATATTAAATAAAATAACTCATGGTTTTAAGTAATAATTATTATTACAATATATAAATATTGAATTAAACAAAAATAAACTAAAAAGTCTGAATTATAACCATTAGTTATTTTTTTAAATTTGTTGTTCAAGTCACAGACAACTCTTTCGTTTGGCAGCATATAGGTTTACTATAAGGCTGTATGGGCTAAGCCCTTTTGCCTATTGGCGAATTTAAAAACTATGGCACTAAGTTTTGGGATGTTATCAAATAAGTAATTTATTTTTTTGTAAAACAATGCCAGGGCGAAAGAAATGTTGATACATAAACTAAACAATGTAAAAAAATAAAGCATAGTTTTTCAAGTATAAATACTTTTGACATAAAGTTGGCCCACTTTTGGGCATTGTCCTTTGGCATACTTATTAAGGACCGATGACAAATAAATATTAAAAAAAATACTGAAAAAATTTAAATTAAATGAAAAATAAATAATAGTTTAAAAAAACTAACAAAATAGCTTTTATAGAAAATCCAGCTAAAAAATGGAAAATAAATTTTAATAAATTTCAATTAAAAATAGAAAAATGATTTTATTGTAAAAAAAGCGTGGGCTTGGTATCAATAGTTATAAATATTTTATGAACAGATATGAGTAGAAGGGTTACTTTATTAGTATCCTGAAAAGCACCCAACGCCTTTTTTTTTACAATAAAATAATTTTTTCTTACACTGTTTTTAATTCAAATTTATTAAAATTTATTTTCTTATTTTTTTAGTTGGATTTTCTATAAAAGCGTATTTTGTTAGTTTTTTTAAACTATTATTTATTTATAGCTTTCATTTGATATTACAGTTCTTAAAAATTTACACCTTCATATCAAAATTTTATACGAAAATGTTTTTTTTACTAGTTAATTCAAAATAGAGTTTTTGCACTTAGCAGATTTTGGTTTGACAGCGACTATGTTATGAAATAAATAATATTATTATTATTTGAGAACTTGTACGCGCCAATTATGTTAGAAAAATGTGTATGTAAATATATAGTTTTTTTTTGTTGACTGTGTACCTCAAAAAAATTATACTAGAAATGAGATTCATTTTTTTTTTGTTATAATTCACAGCAGTGCTTATGGAATAAAATAAAAATAATAAAAAATACATACTTTTGTAAAAATATGTTTTTCTTTTGAAAAATTGCTCTGACAACAGTAGGCAGCGGCTCGTCTGTGCCCCGGCGTTGCTGATGTCCATGGGCGACTATAACCATTCACCATCAGGTGGGTCGTGTGGCTCGTATTTAGATGTTTTTTTATTGCTTAGATGGGTGAACGAGTTCACAGCCCACCGGATGTTAAGTGATTACTGGAGACCATAGACATCTACAACGTAAATGCGCCACCCACCTTGCGATATAAGTTCTAAAGTCTCATGTATATACAACAATGCATTGCTGCTTCACGGCAGAAATAGGCAGGGCGGTGGTACCTACCCGCGCGGACTCACAAGAGGTTCTACCATCTTGAGGTCTTTCAAAGGCAAAATTGGACTTGTTTACGCTACTAGTCTCATTCCTCTCCATATGAGATCAATTGGATCGAATTTAAATGTGTTGAACAGTTCTATTTGAGGGGACTGGGTTCTGTAGGTGATGGGCTATTTAAAAACACTGCTTCATGCTGCTATAAAAATGAATTGCTGTTCGTAAGTCTCGCTAAAACTCGAGAACGTCTGGACCGATTTGGCTAATTTTGGTCTTGAATTATTTGTGGAAGTCCAGAGAAGGTTAAAAAGGTAGATCAATATGAAAATGCTCGGAATTAAATAAAAATAACAATTTTGTTTTTCCTTTGATGTGTCCCCCGTCGGACGGATTCCTTTTGTTTGTTTTAAGTTTATTTTGTACAAAAGTTTAGGTGTTTTTTTTATCGATTGAGGCATTACGAAGTCTGCCGGGTCAGCTAGTGGTTAATATATATTACATTGCAAACACTTTGTACACTATTACAACATTATAATATTTTATTTTTATAAAACCCTAAGATGTTGCACTGTCCGTGTCTAGATAAGTCATTGTCCTTTCTGAAGAGGAGATTTTAGTCGTCTTTGGGTTGGTATTATAATGTCTTTGCGAACACAAATGGAAACAAAGAAAGTTTTTATTTAAGACGAACACAAATATAAAGAAAGAAGGAGAAAGTAAACAAGAAATAGATAGTCCAAGCAACACAAGCGGTACACGAAATAAAAAAGCAATAATTAAAAGGCGTAGTACAGAAAGGTAACACAGGATGCGCGTTCGCAAGTCAGATTACGACTGGTGGTGGTAAGTGGTGGTGGCGGTGGATCGGTAAAAATGCGACGACCGGTTCGTCTATGCACCGATGTACTAGCGAAATATTATCGCCGCCGCTATACTGCAGTTATCGCCCGACTTTATTATATTGTGAATTTAATTTTGTTTAGTGTATATGAGTCGACTATTATCAAAGGCGGCAATCTGACTTTTGGACAATGATTGGTAAATCAGAAAAACGAATTATTGACTTTGTATTCCATTGGCAGTCACAAAACTCTTCGGAACGACATCTTAGATAAATAACAGGTTAACTATTAACCTTTATTTAATGCAGGTTTTGAACCGTATTCCTTGAAGAAGACGATTATATTCAAATCAATCTGTATTGACATATCAATATTTTTTTTTTGTCCAAATGCACAGATTGCCACCTTTGACAATAGACGACTCCTATAATGTTTTGTATGATTGTGTAATAAATGAATGTGTTGATATAAAATAAAGTATGTATGTCTTGCAGTGTAGTGTAATTATAATAAAATATTATAAATTAAATAAATACATGTGAGTCACCCACAAGATAATCATCTGTTTTAAACATTTAAATAAGCTTTTTTTTTTATTGCTTAGATGTGTGGACGAGCTCACAGCCCACCCGATGTTAAGTGGTTACTGGAGCCCATAGACATCTACGACGTAAATGCGCCATACACCTTAGAACTATAAGGTCTCAGTATAGTCACAACGGCTGCCCCACCCTTCAAACCGAAACGCATTACTGCTTCACGGCAGAAATAGGCGGGGCGGTGGTACCTACCCGTGCGGACTCACAAGAGGTCCTACCACCAGTAATTACGCAAATTATAATTTTGCGGGTTTAATTTTTATTGCACGATGTTATTCCTTCACCGTGGAAGTCAATCGTGAACATTTGGTAAGTACGTATTTCATTAGAAAAATTTGTACCCGCCTGCGGGATTCGAACATCAGTGCATCGCTCGACACGAATGCACCGGACGTCTTATCCTTTAGGCCGCGACGACTTCAAAGCATTCCAATATTCGAAAACTGTTAATTCACACGTGACAAGTGTTGCCTGCCATTACTTAAACATACAAACTCCAACAAAATCAAATTAAATTTGATGGAAATAAAGTTTTTGTGAAAAGATTAAAATTTTGGAAGTACCTACCCAAGAGGCCATGTTATCAACTTTGTTTAATTTTATCTTGCTTATGCACTTTCACCGATGTCAAACGATTATTAAGCCACCACAAACGTTTGATCCTAAAGAAACACAATAACAAAACAAAATAATTCACACAACTCTACTCCCGGCGTTCCCGCCAAAAAAGCTTGCTTGAGAATTACTATTTTTTGAAGGGATTTTATGACCTGGTAACTAAGACCTTTAGGTCATGTCTTAGTTATATTCTTATTTTTATGAAGAATGATAATATGAAGTGAAATGAAATGAAATGAAGATGATTAATTTGAGATATTAATCATCAACTGGGATGAAATTAAATGAAATGAGGTGAGATGATATGCGATGAAATATAATCTTAGTAAAATGGTGATCATTTACTGAGATTTTTTCAGTGGATTTTTTGGAGGATTCCGAGAAGTTACGTCCAGCGAATTTGTTTCATTTTCCCACATTTGTGCACTTTCATAAATATTAAACAGTTAATAAACTACCGTTATTACACATTTAAACCTGAAGGAATACTAAATAGACAAAATAAAACAAATCACACATAATCACTCCACGCGTTCGCGCCAAAAAGGCCATTGAGAATTAACGACGGGCAAATATCTGAAAAAAAAACCAACTATGATATCTGCGTATAAATAACCTAGCAACCGTTGGATCAATTATTTAAAACGTCATACAAGTTGACGTTAAGATAATTACATACTTCTAATATTTATATAAAAGAAACATGTGAGTTTGAAAATATTATTTTATATTCATGTATTGAATTGTTTTTATATGTATATAATATTGAAAGGTGAAAGGATATTTGTCTATATTTGTCTATGTTTTTTTATATTTGCGATATTTCGCTTAACACGCGACATTTAGCTTTGTAATGAAAGATGCGTTTTATTTGGTACTAGCGACCCGCCCTCGCTTCGCTTCGGAAACTGTAATTTATTATTGATTTCTCCACTATTTAATGGATGTTATTATACATATAAACCTTCCTCTTCAATCACTATCTATTAAAAAAAACCGCATCGAAATCCGTTGCGTAGTTTTAAAGATTTAAGCATACATACGGATATAGGGACAGAGAAAGCGACTTTGTTTTATACTATGTAGTGATTAGTATCAACAATTCAATGTTTTGATAGCTGAAGAAGCTTTTTTTTGTAATGATATTTTTACCAAATTTTAAATTTTAAATGGCTCTCCTGTCAAAAATGTTGCTTAAACTATATAACCTTTCACCTCTTGATATTACCTTTTACAATCGTTACACTTACGACATATATAATATAAATAAATTAATTATGGAATAGCAACTCAAGCACTCAATAAAAATGTTTACGGGCGTCCGCCACTAGATGGCTTCGTTTCGATTAGTTTCTCATTGCTCCTGTAGATGGCAGTAACATACCTATCCTATATTTTATTTTTATTAAAAGAGTTGGGGGAGTTAGGGGAGAACGGTAACAACACCTCCACCGACCCTACAGTCAACCTCACCTGCGCGCGCCGGATGGCGGCGGAAACCAATTGGTTTCCGTGGTACTCCCTGCTAGATAACAAACGAGGCAATGGCGACCGAGCAATGGCGGTATAACCATACAACCTGCCAAGCAATTGGTTGGAAGAGGCTATAGCAAGCCTGGGGATCTANCACGTATAATCCTAAATTAAAATTCACTACAAGAGCTTTCATACACACGTTAGTATTAAAAAATCTCACAGATGGCGCTGTATTAAATAGTATGTATATTTCTGTCTCATTCTTTTGTATTTGTGTCTCTTACCTGTCGTTTTTTCCGTTGCATCCGGTTTGAAATCACAACGATTCTAAAGAAGTTTTCACTTCAAAAGCAATAATTAAAAGGCGTAGTACAGAAAGGTAACACAGGATGCGCGTTCACAAGTCAGATTACGACTGGTGGTGGTGGTGGCGGTGGATCGGTAAAAATGCGACGACCGGTTCGTCTATGCACCGATGTACTCGCGAAATATTATCGCCGCCGCTATACTGCAGCTATCGCCTGACTTTATTATATTGTGAATTTAATTTTGTTTAGTGTAAAATTAAATAACGTTTTGTATGATTGTGTGATAAATGAATGTGTTGATATAAAATAAAATAAAGTTGATATAAAAGAAACTATGTGAGTCACCCACAAGATAATCATCTGTTTTAATCATTCGAATAAGCATTCCAATATTCGAAAACTGTTAATTCACATACAAACACACACATTCACATTACACATACAAACTCCAACAAAATGAAATGAAATTAGATGGAATAAAATAAAGTGTTTGTGAAAAGATTAAAATTTTGGAAGTACCTACCCAAGAGGCCATGTTATCAACTTTGTTTAATTTTATCTTGCTTATGCACTTTCACCGATGTCAAACGATTATTAAGCCACCACAAACGTTTGATCCTAAAGAAACACATTAACAAAACAAAATAATTCACTCTTCTCCGGGCGTTCCCGCCAAAAAGGCTTGCTTGATAATTATTTTTTTTTTAAGAGATTTTATGACCTGGTAACTAAGACCTTTAAGTCATGTCTTAGTTATATTCTTATTTTTATGAAAAATGATAATATGGAGTGAAATGAAATGAAATGAAGATGATTAACTTGAGAAATTAATCAACGCGTTCGCGCCAAAAAGTCCCTTGAGAATTAAGGACGGGCAAATATCTGAAAAAAAAAACCAACTATGATATCTGTGTATAAATAACCTAGCAACCGTTGGATCAATTATATAAAACGTCATACAAGTTGACGTTAAGATAATTACATACTTCTAATATTTATAAAAAAGAAACATGTGAGTTTGAAAATATTATTTTATATTCATGTATTGAATTGTTTTTATATATATATAATATTCAAAGGTGAAAGGAAATTTGTCTATATTTGTCTATATTTTTTTATATTTGCGATATTTCGCTTAACACGCGACATATAGCTTTGTAATGAAAGATGCGTTTTATTTTGTACTAGCGACCCGCCCTCGCTTCGCTTCGGAAACTGTAATTTATTATTGATTTCTCCACTATTTATTGGATGTTATTATACATATAAACCTTCCTCTCAATCACTCTATCTATTAAAAAAAACCGCATCGAAATCCGTTGCGTAGTTTTAAAGATTTAAGCATACATACGGATATAGGGACAGAGAAAGCGACTTTGTTTTATACTATGTAGTGATTAGTATCAATAATTCAATGTTTTGATAGCTGAAGAAGCTTTTTTTGTAATGATATTTTTACCAAATTTTAAATTATAAATGGCTCTCCTGTCAAATTTGTTGCTTAAACTATTTAACCTTTCACCTCTCGATATTACCTTTTACAATCGTTACACTTACGACATATATAATATAAATAAATTAGTTATGGAATAGCAACTCAGGAACTCAATAAAAATGTTTACGGGCGTCCGCCACTAGATGGCTTGGATGGATTGGATGGATGTTATGATGCCCTCTGGTTCCTAGCTTTCCTTTCATCATCACCTTTCCCGAATAGCATCAGCAGTTATGATCCTTTATTAGAGAACAATCCCCTCCCTATCCAGTCAGTCCTATTCCTAATTCCACACGGCACGGTTGCCGTCATTAATTGTCGTGAAATCTTTATATATTCATTTCGTCAATAAAATCTTTTTTTAAAAAGATATTTTTTCAATTCCGTATAACAGTTTCTATTAGTTTTTCATTGCTCCTGTAGATGGCAGTAACATACCTATCCTATATTTTATTTTTATTATAAGATTTTGCAAATTTCCTAAACAATTAAAGACTTGTATGATTTTTTGTTTTTATTTTCTGTGTTTAGTAATACAATTATGCCTAAAAATAAATTAAATGCCTTAACTTTAACAGCATATATGTTTAGGGGCATCCGCTACTAGATGTCGCTAGTTTCCATACAAAAAAATATTTGTCTTAAAGTATCGCAGATTCAGGGTGATAACTATTCATGCGGGACGCCTTGTCACAACGCAAATAATTTTTTTTGTGGGATATTATATACCTTCATCGTGGAAGTCGTCCGTGAATATTTGCTAAATAAAATACGTAATTCATTAGAACAATGTTTAGCTGCCTGCGGGATTCGAACGTCGGTACAGACGTGTCGCTTGGTACTTGTACACTAGCCGTCTTATCCTTTAGGCCGCGACGACTTGAAATTGTATCCTATCAACCCCTAACCTCTCTGAACAGATATTTTTGTTTTCTATTCGAAGTATGAGCGGGGACACGCTGTATGAAAGACCACAGAGAAGGAATGTTCCCGAAATACGAGCACACGACTATTTATACGGTAAATATTCTTTTTTCTTTTATGATTGAGGGATTACTGGTGGTCCGGAGGGCTTTCCAGTTTCACCAGGACAGCTGGGCGAATAAAGGCTCAGACAGGAGGGCCCACCCCTCCTGGCTGAGCCTTATTTGTTAACAGCTGTCCAAGCGCCTCCGAAGGAGACCTAACAACTCAAGGGCAGCTGCTTCGCGAATGAATCTACTGTCGGATCCGAATCACGACCCGCTGAGAAGATCCGACGACAGACTCAGCGAGCTCTGTAAATTTTCTTCGTCTTTCTTGCCAGCTTTAGTAGAGAAGTCGCTTCGGATCATCTTTATCTACTATCGGTTCTTTGTGCTCTGAGCACCAGACATCGTTCACGTCGAACCCGTCGCTTGCGACGAAGGGCTCGGCGAGTAAATTAACCTACAGACACGGCCCACTGAGTTTCTCGCCGGATCTTCTCAGTGGGTCGCGTTTCCGATCCGACGGTAGATTCTACGAAGCACGGCTCTTGTTAAGGTTAGTAAGTTCGCCAGGCTGAGCCCCATGTGTGCTTAGTGCGAGTTTTTTAACGTTCCCAATAACGTAAAAGTTAACTCAAATTTGTGTATAGAATTGGAACGTTTGCCTACGTTTGCCGCTAGGGGCGCTGTTCCAACTCCATACAAATTTGAGTTAACTTTTACGCTATCGAGAACGTTAAAAAACTCGCACTAAGCACACTGAACTCAGGTACACGTTTGGTGAAGCTATTATAACCCTTCGAGGTTACTTGCGTAGGTACGAAAAGAAAATAAATAGAACAGGATCATTGAACTGACGTGTGTTTTTTTAACTATTGATAGTGTTCTGTTATAATTATCTATTAATAATATTAATAGTCTTTTATTCTAATATTCACTGGTGGTAGGACCTCTTGTGAGTCCGCGCGGGTAGGTACCACCGCCCCGCCTATTTCTGCCGTGAAGCCGCAATGCGTTTCGGTTTGAAGGGTGGGGTAGCCGTTGTAACTATACTGAGACTGAGGTGGGTGGCGCATTTACGATGTAGATGTCCATGGGCTCCAGTAACCACTTAACACCAGGTGGGCTATGAGCTTGCCCAACCATCTAAGCCATAAAAAATTATTAGAACATAACTAACAAAATATTCTTCCCGCCAATAATTAAAATTTATTACGCGAAGTAGGTACCGTTTTATGATTCGTGGTAAAAATAAATATGCCCAGTTGCATATCAAAAGATTTTTATATTTTTTTTATATTTTTTTTATTTCATTGTTTAGATGGACGTGGACGAGCTTATGGCTCTGGTGTTAAGTGGCTACTGGAGCCCATGGACATATACAACGTAAATGACGCTATGAGACATGAGTTCTAATTCCAAGCTTTTACAGTCCAACGGCCTTTTCAGTCGGAACGCATTACTGCTTTACGGCAGAAACGGGCAGAGTTGGTAACTCTACTATATAACTCTAATCTCTACTATATACCTCTACTGCCCCCAAACTCAGATCAGTTTGGGGATTAGACTGATTACTTTCGGGATTTGTCTCATCTAGGACCTAGTTTCCGTCGACGTCCTAGACACGTCGTTAGGGATCCTCCCGATTCACTAATGTTGTCATTAGACGCTTGGAGCTTTAGCAATAGGAGCAGGTTTAGGTACTCTCGTAATCCTGCCCGTCGAACTCGTCAAAGCGTTCGAGATTGTACCTACCCGTGCGGACTCACAAGACGCCCTACCCCCAGTAATTTAAGTCTAACCCTGTATTATTATCCTAGATTCAACGTTCATTGTATCCGGCGCAAGGGACTACGCGAGGACCGCTTTCAAAGGCGCAATGGCATCGGCTCAAGTTGTGCGTAATTTTAAATCAAACAGCTTCACTCTTATTACTCGAGATGGGTAGACCTATTGTTGTTATTGCCCTTGTAGGCAGTGCGCTTAGTGAGAGTTTTTTAACGTTCTCGATAGCGTAAAAGTTAACTCAAATTTGGATGCAGTTGGAACAGCGCCCCTAGCGGCAAACGTAGTCAAACGTTCAAACGTTAACTTTTACGCTATCGAGTACGTTAAAAAACTCGCACTAAACACAGAGACGAGCATATAGCCGAACCTGGTGGTTAGTGGTTACCGTCACTCATGGACGTCAGCAATGCCAGGAACAGAGCCAAGCCGCTGCCTACCGCCAATTATTCCCCTCAAACCTCGTTTGAAGAACCACATGTCATAGCGCTCGGGAAACGCTGTGGATTGGAGTTCATTCTATGTGCTTAGTGGGAGTTCCCTTCCCGTGGTTTGACATTAGGGGCGCTGTTTCGACTCCATACAAATTTGAGTTAACTTTTACGCGTATGAGAAGTTAAAAAATACACTCTAAACACACGAGTGTCGGATGATAGGTGGATGAAATCTGCTCCGGTGTTGGGCGGTGCGATATTGACATTGATCTATCTTGAGACAACATGTTAATTGTACAATGACTGCGACCAGTATACTCTTTTATAATAAACATCTCAGTATCATATTTAATTAAATTTTTAATTTTGTCGGTAATACGTTTTCTTATTCTTCAGCTTTGCCATCAGTTTCTTTCTAGAATCTATCAGGACCAGAACCAATTGAACATAAGAGTAATATTGGCTGTTGTTTCTAGATCATTCAGCCGGTTTACAGAACTATGTTCTCGAACATCAAGAAATATCCACGAATGCGCGTTGGTAAGTTCTAACACATTGAGTTTCTCGCCGGTTCTTCTCAGTGGGACGCGATTCTGATACGGTGGTAGATTCAGCCAAAACTGTTGGTCCAACTTACTGGCCAATTGTTGCAATGACCCCCTCTCACCACTACGCCTATATAGGGGAGAGGTGGTATACTTGATCCCTGTTTTGGTTTTCTTTTAGTAATTCGAACCATTTTCATAAATCTGACTTTCTTTTAAATCACACATGTATTTCCGTTCAATACTACTGATTTAGCACCAATACAGACCTTCTTATTTATTAAAAAAAACGACAAAAAGGGTTTTTTTAAAGTCCGACACAAGGATCAAGTAACCCTCCCTATGGGGATACTTGACCCCGGTGAGTGGGTTGTATGATCCCGGAGGATCAATCATCCCACCCGTCAAAGTTTCAGCCATAGGCCTACCTAAATATGGAAATTGAATAAACTTAGGTCTACTATTAATAAGTTGTTATTAACGATTCGAAAGATGAGTAGGTACAAAATGAAAACAACATAAAAAAATTGAAAACACAGACAAAAAATAAATGGGAAAATTATTCGAGAAGTGGCACGGAATAAATGTCACGTGTTTTTGAAAATTTCGTCGGCTCCGGCAAGTGTCCCAAAATGTCACCCCACACATAAAATATTTCGTCTTCCCTTGCTGGCCACTTCCAAAGCCTTCCACTTTTTTCCATTGCTTTTATTGTAGCCCCGTTTTCATGTATTTTTGTAATTTTTCCTGGGTATGACAAACCATTGTAAATTGCAACTAGAAATTCCCCTACTTCTTTTCTGATGGACTCAAAAGCTCTATGACCCTCGCCATCACTGCATAACNCAAGAGCTTTCATACACACGTTAGTATTAAAAAATCTCACAGATGGCGCTGTATTAAATAGTATGTATATTTCTGTCTCATTCTTTGCTGGCTTCATCCTACACATTTTTGTATTTGTGTCTCTTACCTGTCGTTTTTTCCGTTGCATCCGGTTTGAAATCACAACGATTCTAAAGAAGTTTTCACTTCAAAATATAATCAGTCTAGTCCCCAAACTGATCTGCGTTTGGGGACTAGACTGATTATATTTTATTTTTTGTGGCTTAGATTGGTGGGCGATCTCACAGCCCACCTGGTGTTAAGTGGTTACTGAAACACATAGACATCCACGACGCAAATGCGCCACCCACCTTGAGATTTGTTCTAAGGTCTGAAGTTTTACTTTCCGGATTTGTCTCATCTAGGAGCCAGTTTCTGTCGAAGTCTTAGACACGTCGTTACGGATCCACCTGATTCACTAATGTTGTCATTAGACGCCTGGACCTTTAGCAATAGGAGCAAGTTTAGGTACTCTGGTAATCATACTCGTCAAAGAGTTTGATGTGCAACCTAACCCACACATTAGCTCACTGAGTTTCTCGCTAGATCTTCTTAGCGGGTCGCGATTTCGATCCAATGGTAGATGCACTCGCGAAACAGCTGCCTATGTCTTCGGAGACGTTTAAGCATCTACTATGGAATCCCACTTAGGTGTAATGAAAGGGCCTTCAGTCCACTAGTTCTCCTTTAATCCTTAAAAAGCGAAATATAAGTTGCGTCAGATTTAAGATTTTGTGCACATTAAATCTGAATGTCTATTATTGTTGTCGGCGACGATATCCGGGCGAGGGGGGGGCGGGGTGTAGTGTGGGGTGCGGGGTGACCCAAACAAAACGTGATGGCAGACAGACGCGAGGACAGCTTGAGTTATTAGGTCTCCTTCGAAGGCGCTCGGGCAGTTGTTAGCAAATCCCACCCCACCTGGCTGAGCCTTTGCTCGCCCAGCTGTCCTGGGAAAGGCCTCCGGGCCACCAGTAATTCTTCAATCACTAAAAAAAACGCGAGGACAGACATGACTATAAGCAATAAGCGGCAGGATTTAAAGTTATTTTTTTATTTATTTTTATTGCTTAGATGGGTGGACGAGCTCACAGCCCACCTGGTATTCAGTGGTTACTGGAACCCATAGACATCCACAACGTAAATACGCCACCCACCTTGAAATATGAGTTCTAAGGTCTCAGTATACTTACAACGGCTGCTCCACCCTTCAAACCGAAACGCATTACTGCTTCACGGCAGAAATAGGCAGGGCGGTGGTACCCATCCGCGCGGACTCACAAGAGGTCCTACCACCAGTAAGGTTAATCGAATAAATTAAAATTATAAAAAGCAGTAATAAAAGCATCTCAAAATATAATTTTATCATTTTGTTCAGTTCCTGAATAGTTGTCTGTTGATACCAGGCCACGTCAAGTTTTGGCTGTGCCGAGTACGACTCCCGACTTCCAACCCCAGACGCCGGAGTGCGCACCCTCGCTCCCTCACAAGCCGAGGAGCAGAGGAACTCAAAGCCTTTACAGGTATCAATGAAACTATATAATATTATAAAGCTGAAAAGTTTGTTTGAACGCGCTAATCTCAGGAACTACTGGTCCGATTTGAAAAATTCTTTCAGTATTAGATAGCTCATTTACCGACGAAGGCTATATAACATCATGCTAAGACCAATACAAGCGGAGCACCAATTAAGAATGTTTCAAAATCGGGGTTTTTTCCCTTTTGAGAGCTTCCACTGCGTGCGCTGCGGAAACGGTTAAAGTTTCGCTAAAATAATGTATGACAGAATTGTTCCCCTTTAAAAGATTTAAAAAATAAAAAAAAGCGTACGACAGTAGTTCCTGAGATTAGCGCGTCCAAACAAACAAACAAACTCTTCAGCTTTATAATATTAGTATAGATTTTCATCAACAGTTAGTTTTTTTTTATTTGAACTTCAATTAGGTTTACCCCATTCTAATAGCCGAAGAAGTTTTTTTGTTACGATATTTTGTTCCAAATTATAAACTTTATTAAATGGCCCTCCTGTAAATTGCAAAAAAGTCACTTAAACGAAATAGCATTTCACCTGTCGATATAATAATATAATCATATATATGTATATAATGATGATAAAGAATCTTCTAAAAATGGTTGAACATTATTATAAGACTTACTTAATTGCGTTTTCTGTACATCATTATGAAAACAAAATTTAAAGCCTTTATTTTCCACAAATTATTATTTTACACAGAATTATTGAATTATTTAAAACTGAACTCCTCTTTTTTTTTTCAATAACAGAGATCTCAGTCAATCTATAAAGTATAGGAAAAAATATTCAAATGTTTTACATAAAAATGACATAAATAAGGTTCTTCTTATATAATATTAAATATAAGGCTATTTTTCAGGAAGACTGTTACTATGTTCCTAACAGGGAGTCATCAGCCCAGACGGTTCCTTGGCAGCCCGACGCGAGACCAGCCGAAAGCTGCGAGCGAACTCCAGAAGTGTTATACCTCGATAAGTTGGAGTGGGGTATGTTTTATTGTTCAGACAACAGAGTCAGTTTTGCAGTGAGCGTTTTTGTAAACAGATCTGTCCATTTGATGTTGCCACTATTCGAAAGCCATAGCCGATTTTGAATCATTAGGTTGAAGTCTTGATTTTATTGGTACGTTACTGGTACGATACTCGCACAATACTCGCACTATACTCGCACAATACTCGCACTATACTCGCACAATACTCGCACTATACTCGCACAATACTCGCACTATACTCGCACAATACTCGCACTATACTCGCACAATACTCGCACTATACTCGCACAATACTCGCACTATACTCGCACAATACTCGCACTATACTCGCACAATACTCGCACTATACTCGCACAATACTCGCACTATACTCGCACAATACTCGCACTATACTCGCACAATACTCGCACTATACTCGCACAATACTCGCACTATACTCGCACAATACTCGCACTATACTCGCACAATACTCGCACTATACTCGCACAATACTCGCACTATACTCGCACAATACTCGCACTATACTCGCACAATACTCGCACTATACTCGCACAATACTCGCACTATACTCGCACAATACTCGCACTATACTCGCACAATACTCGCACTATACTCGCACAATACTCGCACTATACTCGCACAATACTCGCACTATACTCGCACAATACTCGCACTATACTCGCACAATACTCGCACTATACTCGCACAATACTCGCACTATACTCGCACAATACTCGCACTATACTCGCACAATACTCGCACTATACTCGCACAATACTCGCACTATACTCGCACAATACTCGCACTATACTCGCACAATACTCGCACTATACTCGCACAATACTCGCACTATACTCGCACAATACTCGCACTATACTCGCACAATACTCGCACTATACTCGCACAATACTCGCACTATACTCGCACAATACTCGCACTATACTCGCACAATACTCGCACTATACTCGCACAATACTCGCACTATACTCGCACAATACTCGCACTATACTCGCACAATACTCGCACTATACTCGCACAATACTCGCACTATACTCGCACAATACTCGCACTATACTCGCACAATACTCGCACTATACTCGCACAATACTCGCACTATACTCGTACTATACTCGCACTATACTCGCACTATACTCGTACTATACTCGTACTATACTCGCACTATACTCGTACTATACTCGCACTATACTCGCACAATACTCGCACTATACTCGCACTATACTCGTACTATACTCGCACTATACTCGTACTATACTCGTACTATACTCGCACTATACTCGTACTATACTCGCACTATACTCGTTTAATACTCGCACAATACTCGTTCTATACTCGCTCAATACTCGCACTATACTCGTACTATACTCGCACTATACTCGCACAATACTCGCACTATACTCGCACTATACTCGTACTATACTCGCACTATACTCGTACTATACTCGCACTATACTCGTACTATACTCGCACAATACTCGTACTATACTCGTACTATACGGAAGGTAAGGCGACTTTTGACGTGGTTAATGGCTTTAATGCTTTCCAGTTTGAAGAAGGTAGAGGGAGACTATAAATTAATGAATCACGGAAGCATCGTGCTCAAGCTTGCCGATTAGGTAGGCACGAAAAAAGCCCTGGCTTTATAGTGACGTTGGTCTATAGGTCCGGGACAACCGTATCGCACCGGGGACTTGCCCGCCGATTTCCACACCACCGAAATAATAAACAAGTAAGTTCTGAATAGTATCTAGTGCAGTTTATTTCCTACCTTTGCTGAGGCTATTTCGGGTTCTCCTTGACGTGTAGGTGAGCTCACGGGGCTCTAACCGGAGGTGTTGCTAAGCTACACTAGCGAGAGCAGTGCTTCGCTGAATCTACCATCGGATCAGAAACGCGACCCACTGAGAAAATCCGATGAGAAATTCAGTGAGCTGTGTCTGTGGGTTAATTTACTCGTCGAGCCTTTCATCGCAAGCGACGGGCTCGACCAGAAGGATGACCGGTGCTTGTGGTTTCTAAAAGCACCGTTAATGAATCGGGAGGATACGTAATGACGTGTTTTGGGCGACGTAGACTGATTACCATTCGGTCTATAGGATCGGATATGCTGGCAGTCTAAGGGTATTTTTGAACTATAGCCGGTCTGGTAGGTGATCTTTGGCTATTGGCTCTAGCAAGAGCAGTGCTTCGCTGTACCAGATCGGAATCGCGACGCACTGGATCTAGGTAATCCGTGGCGAAATTCATTTGAGATGAACTTAGTGTATTATACGATGTGAGAATTGTGAGATCGAATGAAATAAAGCCTCAGTAAAATGGTGGTTATTTACTGAAAATCAAAGTGGATTTGTTGGAGTTCTTGAAGCCACAACCGGCGTCTCTGCTCCATTTCCCTCCCACGCTAAGCCGTTAATAAAGAACAATAAATTAACGAAATAAAACAATTCACACAACTAAGCTTCTCGCATTCCCACCTGACTGACTTCATTAAAAATAACGTTAATTATAGTGTGTTACTGCCATCTACAGGAGTATCAAGAAACTAATAACAAGCCATCTAGTGGTCGACGCCCGTAAACAGAATGTCTATAAGAGAAACGATGGATCTCGCTTTCTCCCTCTCTACACAGTCGAGTGGTTCGCGAGACGCTCTATCTATTTTCTCACTCTCGCTCGTCCTAAATTGTATCTTTGTCTCCATAGCCGTAACGAATCTATCGCGAATTAAATTTTACTCTCGATGCGCCTAAAGTACTTTCGCTTGGAAAAATACCATTCTTCTATTTTAATCGTTCAAGGATGCGTCACGCCCGCATCTGGTCGGAGGTGGCCGAGCAGGGGAAATTCCCACGCTGGATGAAGAAACGCGACGCCATTATAACGGACGTCGAGACAAAGGACTGGATATTCAGGGAGACGGTAATGAACGAATGTATAATTGAACGGCAATGGACGTTTTTTTAACGTGACAACGTCTTATAATTCGATGGAGCCGGCTGCACGCACGAAAAAACATGGCTCATGCAGCGTTACCTCACTCTGAGGCGTTCCATTTAAGGCTTGAAGTGCAAGCGAGAGCGCGCAACGAGCGACAAAGAGGCACAATCGGCCTCCGCGTTCGGCAGCGTTAGACATCTGTCTCTCTCCTACTTGAGTGAGCGATGCATCCGCGTGGACAGCTGCTATACAATAATACATTTACATGTTTTCGTCAAGTATGAAGTTTAGTGAAAAGTGAATGTGGTGTCAATTGTCCATACAAAATATCTATCAAATAAATAAAATTAAAATTTTCGTTTGAAAAATGAAACCATTCCATCAGTATTTTCTTATGACGTTGTCACGTTCAACTATCGTCAGTAAACCGACTTTACAGACAACCGATTTTTTTATATTGCTTAGTTGGGTGGACTTGCTCACGGCCCACTTGATGTTAAGTGATTACTTAACGGACCCCATAGACATCTGCAACGTAAATGCGCTACCCACCTTGATATATGAGTTCTACAGTCTCAGTATAGTTACAACGGCGGCCCCACCCTTCAAACCGAAACGCATTACTGCTTCACGGCAGAAATAGGCAGAGTGGTGGTACCTACCCGTACGGAATCACAAGAGGTCCTACCGGCAGTAATAATTGACAATAAAGAACAGCAATTTGCTCATTCAAATCTAATTACTATTAATACAAAACTTTATAAGTTGAAAAACGTCAAAACGGCCATCATAGCGCGCCGCTAGTGTAGTGAATTATCTCTTACAGGAAATCGATGAGTTGCAAGAGATCCGCTTGGAGTTGCTGCACCGGATGCAAATGGCGAACCGCCAGAAGCAGACCTCGAGGACCGGGACGAAGCTGGCGAGGCTCTGGGACGCGAAGAAACGAGAAATGGACAAGAAGATCGAGGGCATACGAAGGACCAGGGATAGAGGTGAGCTTGTGAGAGCTTGACCCATTGCGCCACTCGACTGATCTCTTCAGCGGGTCGCGATTCCGATCCGCTGGTAGATTCTGCGAAGCACTGCTCTTGCTAGGACTAGTGCTAGCACATTCTCTTAGACTGAGCTCCGTGAGCTCACTTACAGGACTACCAGCAAATACGAATTTACTGGTGGTAGGACCTCTGGTGAGTCCGCACAGATAGGTAGCACCACTCTGCATATTTATGCCGTGAAGCAGTAATGCGTTTCGGTTTGAAGGGTGGGGCAGCCGTTGTGACTATACTGAGACCTTACACCTCATATCTCGAGGTGGATGGCGGCATTTACGTTGCCGATGTCTATGGGCTCCGGTAACCACTTAACATTAGCTGGGCTTGTCTACCTATCGATGCAATAAAAAGAACTTGTGCTTTTGTTGAACTTCTAGAATTACGAAAGCTAAGCGCCGTACATAGCAGCGGAGGTCGCGCCGGCCTTGTCGCCGCGTTGCGCGCGTCTCGCGGTGCCGGGTCGGCTCGCGCAGAAGCCGTGGACCCTTCGTCGGACGCGCACGCGCCGCTGGCGAGGCACGGGTACCAGGCGCGGAGAAGACACGCAGAGATCACTTACGACCCGGACCTGTTGTGTGAGAGCGCTTATGTTGTCCTAGTACATCTAACGTGAAGCAAAAACTTTGAAACTCCAATAATGTAACCAAGGTGTAAAAAAATTACCTAAAATATTCTTTACATCGCGTGCCCTGCGAAAACTATTCATGATAGAATAAAAAAAAGTACTACAACTTTGTAGAAAACATTATTGTTTACAAAAAGTTTCGCGACAGCATAATATGTCTAACTGTACTTATGCCGCAATAAGTGTTATTTTATTAAAAAAAAATAAAACAACGGCGTTGAAATTTTTGTTAAAGACCCGAGCGGAGCAGGAGCGGGCCGCTTGTCGGGAATATAGAGAAGGAATGCAGAATGCTATTTTTTATTTATTTAATCATAAAAAATACATTAAATCAGTAAAAAAACATTATACACACGCATATACTCTTTTGTTTTTTGTTAAAGTTTGTGGTCTAATTGAGAATAGATTAAGCCCGGACCTGTTGTGTGAGAGCGCTTATGTTGTCCTCATCGATCTACGATCGATGGTTGTCCTAGTACATTTATATATTAATACGTGAAGCAAAAACTTTGTAAGTATCCCTTTTTACGAAAATTGCGCGGACGGAGGAGTATGAAATTTCCCACACTTTTAAACAATATAGAGAAGGAGTGCAGAATGCTATTTTTTTTTAATTCTGCCTATAAATACATTAAAGCAATAGAAAAAACATTACGTTACATTACGTTGTAATTAGTCTTTGAGTTTTGACGTCAAATACTATAGAATTTACAGATTTTAATTAACAATTATCAGTAATTAAATTTTTTTTTTATTAGCAAATAAATAATAAGTTTTGAGTTATAACTAGTGTTCGCTCAACGGACGAAAATAGACCTAAAACACCATTAGATTTCGATTAATTTTATGATATATGTAAAAACTTTTCTTTTATTTCCTTTTTGTTTGACTTGAGTAATGATTTCTTTTTAAGCAATAAGCCTTTTTTAAATTTCTTTGGTTGGCTATACTGAATGGAAGAACGAATTCAAAGAGAACTCCTTACATTTATGTGAGCCTGGTACTTTGATATATTTAGATTCTTAATACTATTTAGACGAGCAGAAGGCTTAGTTGATGATAAGCCAGCGAACTTTAAATTGAGACGCGTGCGCTTCTGTTGGCTCTCAAACCTCAAGGTGACTCAAACCTCACAGTTACTGTCGTCTTGAGACATCTATAAGTAAGGTTGAGTAACGCATGAGAATCTAATATGGAAAAATAACGATGGTTATACATAGTAACCGGCAAACATCGTGAGCAAATGACCTTGACTGCGCAGAACCGAATTTTAGATCACTTTGGTGGTGAGGGTGAGGCGCGACGGCAGGGGAAATCGTATCGAGCGCGTTATTGGTAGATCAGTCGAACCTTGCGTCCCGCACCGCGCCCTCGTTCCGCTTGCTCCCAAAAGTACGCTTGCGTACAGTGAAAAGTCTATCGTTATTAATCGTTAAGTTATTTGTTATAATTGCTTGTTGACTTTGTTGCCATTGCTATTTGTTGAGTGTTTGTTGATTTTTTATAAAAAATACACTATGCCGCGACAAACTGGTGTAGTATTCAAAAGAAAGGGTAGAAAAATTGTGTACGACGTATATTGCTTCATTATAAAACAGGGGAAGAATGATATGGAAAAAGTAAAACAGACTTCGGAAGCAACAAAAACATCAGTGAGTACTGTTAGGTGCATTATTAACGAAGCTAAAGGCTCTGGCTTGCTCGCCGTGTTTCGGACTCCGGGTAAGAAAAGATCAGGGAAGAAGAAAGTTACCGGAATGGATAGTTTCGTTCAATCTGTAATAAAAAGATGTAATCATAATAACTACATAACAAGCAGCGAAACTCCGTACCGTAGAAAGGCTTCGAAAAATTTAAAGAAGATATAAATTTTAATGGCTCGGAATGAAGCTTACGACGAATTATGAAAGAGCTAGGCTTCAGATGGAAAAAAAGAACAGAAAATAATCGGAAGCTGGTAAATGAAAAAAGTAACATTCGATTACTACGAATCGAATATCTTCAAAAAATAATTAATTATAGACAAAAAAGAAGACCGAATCGACCGAGTTGTAAACTACGCCGATGAGCCCTATGTCGACTCATCACGATGATAGCGACTCGGGTGATGAAAACAGTGATGATGATGATGGTCAAGATTATGATAACGAAAAAAAAATTACAAATACCAGCTTCGCTTTAACTGAACCAAGACCTGGCAACAGCTCTAGTTTTGACTTAATAGAAGGAATATCTATTTTACCCCAAGATTAAATTATTACAATTATTAACCTATATTTTTTGTTGATGTTCTAATAAATATATAAATAAATACATATGTTGATTTTAATAATTTAATTGCATTATGACGCAGAGTAAATAATGTTTTTGCACGTGAGTGTACCATGCGCAAACTTACCCCCACTACGTCAACAAATGCTCAAGAAGTTTGCCGGCTATTATACTTATAGTTTCTTTAACTATGCTTACATGAATATTGACACTGTCAGTGTGCTGTCGATACATAAAATAATTATAGCCGTCTATGTCGCTCTCTTTGTCTCCACATCCCGAGTCTCGGAATATACAGTTCTCTTTCTTATTTAAGTTGCGTCATATCTTCCTTCTCTTTCGTGAAACGCAATCGCCCTAAACGCGACACTTCTGAATTCACTTTAAAATTTGACAATTCCATAATAATTAGTATCGCATTGTCTAGGAACATTATGAGCGCCCTAGCGCTCTTACAAAATTTCTAGCAGGATTATAAATTAGAAATATCCTGTGCAAATAATTTTCTATTGCCAGCCCTCGAAGACCATGAAGAACTATCGAAGCCTCCTTCTTGGCTGGACAAATGCGGCCAGGATCTGACCAGGACCTGTTCCGGGCATCATCTACCCAGAGACGCGACCCAGCTATGCCAGCGGGAGACGAAGTGGAGTGAGAGCTTCTTAGAGAGCCTGCACAACGACTTAAAGAGTGAGTTTCTGTTGGTATTCCCGCGAACTTGAGTCTGACGTTGGGCGTCCTTAAAGCCTTGTACCGCATGTTCCATGGGGAGTGCTCTAAGGAATTATTTGAGATGATTCCATTATCTCGTTTTTACCATCGCACCGTCCGCCACCGGAGTGGAGTTCATTCATACTACCTGGAGCCACTGCAGTCATCCACAGAGCGCTTCCAGAGATCTTTCTTGCCACGTACCATCCGGCTTTGGAATGAGCTCCCTCCACGGTGTTTCCCGAGCGCTATGACATGTCCTTCTACAAACGAGGCTTGTGGAGAGTACTCAACGGTAGGCAGCGGCTTGGCTCTGCCCCTGGCATTGCTGCAGTCCATGGGCGACGGTAACCACTCACTAAGGTGGGCCGTACGCTCGTCTGCCTACAAAGGCAATAAAAAAAAGGAATCCGATTTTGATCAGTGTGCTCAGTGCGAGTTTTTTAACGTTTTCGATAGCGTAAAAGTTAGCTCATATTTGTATGGAATGGGATCGTTTGCGTACGTTTGCCACTAGGGGCGCTTTTTTTTTTTTCGGGCCGTGTGCCGAACCTCCTTCAGCCTAGAGCCTAGAGCCTAGTATGTGAGACTCAACGATCTGCAGGTGTTGAGGCAGATCGCGGGTCCAAGGATTTTAGGGCCCACCCATTAAACGACTCCCCTGCACTCTTACGCCCGACGTCCGATCTCCGTCCGGGGTCAGAACCCGATCAGAGTAGGGGGGTTCCCGCGGTCAACACTACAACCAGACACGCGGCGCCACAAGGGGTGCTGTTCCAACTGCAAACAAAATTGGGTTAACTTTTACGCTATCGAGAACGTTAAGATACTCGCACTAAGCATATTAGTCTGTAATAAATACCGGACAAGCTAAATGAGTTCCAATATTTAAAGAGCGAAACCATTCAAAACTAATTTGACTATTTATTAGTGTCATAATATTAATTTGGAGGTTCGGGTACCAATTTTTCCAATCGAATGCGTACTTAACAAATGTTCACGATTGACTTCCTCGCTGAAGGAATAATAACATCGTGTAATAAAAATCAAACCCGCAAAATTATAATTTGCGTAATTACTGGTGGTAGAGCCTCTTGTGAGTCCGCGCGGGTAGGTACCACCTACCTGCCTATTTCTGCCGTGAAGCAGTAATGCGTTTCGGTTTGAAGGGTGGGGCAGTCGTTGTAACTATACTGAAATCTTAGAACTTATATCTCAAGGTGGGTATCCCATTTACGTTATAGATGTCTACGGACCTCAGTAACCACTTAACACCAGATGGGTTGTGAGCTCGTCCACCTATCAATAAAACATAAATAAATAATACTTAAAAAAACTAACAAAGTACGGTTTTATAGAAAATCCAAATAAAAAAATTGAAAATAAATTTTAATAAATTCGAATTAAAAATAGTGTAAGAAAAAATGATTTTTCATTTTACATTTTTTGTTGGATTTTCTATAAAAGCGTATTTTGTTAGTATTTTTAAATTAATATTTATTTTTAATTTTTTAGTTGAATTTCAATTTTTTCAATTTTCTTTTATTTTTATTTTTTCATTAATATTGAGTTGTCATCGGTCCTTAATAAGCATACCAAATTTCGAGTTAATTCGACGTTTTGAAGGGGGTCAAAATCATGTTCAAAGATTCCGTTACATACTAACATACATACGTCTGAAGCTAATAAAAGCGTATTAAAAAAAAACAAAAAAATTCGGCCGCCTTGCAACCACTTGTTATGTTAAGTAACGTCCTACACTTCGTCTCTGACAGAGGCCCGTCTTGGCGCGGGATCCCAATCCGCCGGTCCTCTGCGGGTCCTCAGACCTCGCGTGACTAACGCCAGCCCTCGTCCTCCCACTCCCGAGGTGGAAGCCGTCGATGATACGGAAGAAGAGAACCACCAGGCCGCCCTAATGCTGCAGAGGGTTTTGAGGGGCAGAGCGGTACAGACTCTGGTCAGTTCTAGGGATTTTTGCTAATTGACTGTATACCACGCGTGGTCATGACGCTTCTAAGTCATTTCAGAAACACGTTTGAAGAAGTACGTATTATCATCGCGTTGGTGAAACGTTGTGGTGAAATAAGGAGACGTTGGGATGAAATATCGAGGGGTAAAAAACGATTTGGCTTAAGCGAAATTTTTTTTACTTTACAGGAGAGCCCTTTAAAGCTTAAAATTTGAAAAAAATATATTTATAAGAAAAAAACTTTTTCAGTTATTTGAATGGAGTAAAGGACAATGCCCAAAAGTGGGCCAACTTTATGTCAAAACTATTTGTACTTGAAAAACTATGCCTTATTTTTTCAGGTTGTTTAGTTTATGTATTAATACTGCTTTCAGCCTGGCATTGTTTTAAAAAAAAAATTACTTATTTGATAACATCCCAGAACGGCTCAGTGAATTTGGCCCCCTTTTTTTGATTTTCGGATTTTTTTATTTTTAATTATTAGGTCGTCGTTTGTTGGTTAATGTTCGAACATAAAAATTATTTGTTCGTCTTTTATTTATTTATAATTAATTAAACAAATGATCACCCTTCGAATTCGAACATTAACGAACAAATGACGAACAAATAATTAAAAATAAAAATAAAACTAAAATAAAAAAAAGCTGGCGTGAGGTGATGGTTTGCTTTGCTCGACTTCTACGAGTCCACCATCTCACAGAAGGAGGCGGCGGAACGAGAGAGGGAGAGCTCTGCCCTTTCCACACCGTTCCGTCGCCGTCGAGCCGGGGGCCGGAGGCGGGAATACGCCCGTACGTTCCGGCCCCTGTAGGTAGCGGCCTCCCCCCGGTGAAGGTCAAGGGGCGACCTGAAGGGGTAGAGGCCGCGCGGCGCGCTACTAGCAATCTAGCGCGCCGCCGAGGAGTAATAGAGCGACCGGTTGGCGGTGTATCGCGTCCCGACTAGATATGTGTCGTTCGCGAACGAACGAGTCAAACGACCCGGGTCTCAAATTCCGCGCGAACGATAGGGTCACTTCAAAAAATATGAGTCGTTCACTAAATCGACTCGTTTAACAGAAAAGCTACGAATCAGAAGAAAAGAACCATACGAGTACGACGGTCATTCGGGGCATTTCGGGTTGCCGCGTCTCGCCCCGCGCCCGTCTCGCATAGTCGTTCGTTCGACTGAACGGGTCGTACGAACCGGATCATTTTGTCAACAGGTCAGTACTGATCTGAATCTCTAAAATTGAACGAACGACACATATCTAGTCCCAACCCGACAGGCTGGTTCTGGTCCAGCAGGGTATTCCGGGATACCAGCGGCACCGTCTGGGCGGCCTGACGGGCTGCCGTACCGAGACGGCCGACGTTTCAGAGCCTTCGATTCGCCTCGAAGGCTCCGTCGGCTGGGCGTCCTTGGGGTGAGCCGCGCCGTCTGGTTGTAGTGTTGACCGTGGCCACCCCCCAACCTCATCCGGGTTCTGGCCTCGGAGGGGATCGGACGTCGGGTGTAAGAGTGCAGGGGAGTCGTTTAGTGGGTGGGCCCTAAAATCCTTGGGCCCGCGGTCTGCTCACAACACCATGCAGATCATTAAGTCTCACATACCCCGCGCGCCCCTTATGCGCGGTGACCTCGTAGGAGGTTCGGCCCATGGCCCGAAAAAAAAAGGTGATGGTTTGCTTATTAGATATAAAATAATTAATAATTGGGAATTTGATTGTTTTTATGATCAATCAATCACCAATAGTCGTCGAACAAACGATAATTGATCAAAATGAATTAATCTGAGCGATAAAAATAAAGATGCCTAGTAAGGGGGCCCACTTAACGGTGATCATTTGTTTAATTAATTATAAATAAATTAAAGACGAACAAACAATTTTTACATTCGAATCTTAACGAACAAATAACTAAAAATAAAAAAAATCCGAAAATCAAAAAAAGGGATGCCAAATTTACAGAGCCTCCCAGAACTGAGTGCCATTGTTTTTAAATTCACCAATAGGCAAAGGGCTTAGCCCATACAGCCTTATAGTAAGCCTATATGCTGCCAAACGAAAGAGTTGTCTGTGAATTAAACAACAAATAAAAAAAAAACTAATGGTTCACAGACTTTTTAGTTTATTTTTGTTCAATTCAATATTTATATATTGTAATAATAATTATTACTTAAAACCATGAATTATTTAATATTTTTAGATATTAATGATTCCATTAGTAAAAATCTGAACCATTACTCTCTATTCTTATTATATATGATTAGAGAGTTTTGGCAGCAATCCGAGTGAAGCGTCACTTGAAGTTTTATTTTAATGATTTTTTAATTATTGTGATGTATAATAATATATAAATTGGGTGTTGTTTGTGTATTGTGGCTACCATAGCAGTGACTGTATTTTTTTTTTTCAAGATAAAAGGTCTGCTGAAATTCACGCTCACTCAATGTGCTATTTATCGAGTTGACGTCAAAAATCCCAAAAATCAATAAAAAAAGATACACCGGCTTTTTATTGACATAAAAAAAAAACTACGACAGATTAGGCTGTATAGGCTACGCTCTTTGCCTGCTTATTGGCGAATTTAAAAACAACAACAACAATATCGTTGTTGGCTTCCGGATTTCATTTCATTTTATTATTATTATTATGAGGATATAATAATAATAAGATGTACGTAAGGGCTTATTTCTAGCAACATTAACCACAATTAACTTATTTAATACTGTAAATAATGATGAGAGCGATTATTGATTTCGAAGAAAACAATTAACAACTTAATTTTAGCTGCAGAAAAAAACAGATTTCTCTTAAACCTGGGTGAGAATATAAAAATCGTTTTCTGAATATGAAACGATATTTCTTTGTCTATCAATTTAAGTTAAAACCATCATCACTAGACAAATTTTTTTGGGGGCCCAAACGTCCATAGAAAATGGGCATTGTCCTTTCATATAAAAAAACATGGAATTGTTGATGCTAATACTAAAGAAAACGGATTTTTAATTACAAAGATAAATGTCGCGTGTTAAACGAAATGACGCTTAATTCAAATAAAAATATCTTTTCACCCCTCGATATACTGGGTGTTAGGAGACCGCTTCCGAAAACGACACGATTTGTTAAAAATCAGGATCGATTTTTTTTTTCGATCCCATCATCAGAGGTTTCATTAGTACTATCGTCCGTCTTCGTTTTCGGAAGCGGTTTCCTAACACCTAGTATAGTTCTCTGAATTTGTTTCACTGCCTCTCGTCGACTATGCCTCTTTTTAAAATCGCCGCGCTGGTCCAGTTTCGACACATACCAATTGTATGAATTGACTAGCGACCCGCCCTCGCTACGCTGCGGAGACTATCATTTATTGTTGATTTTATTGAATTTTCCTTTAAACAAATCTGAACTGAGAAAATGATTCTTGTCGCCCGCTTCGCTGGGCATTTAAAATTAACATTATTATTGATTGTCATTATTATTAGGGAGTCCAACACTCATATAAATATTAGCCTATCCATTAAGTACATGTATTTTCTACATGGATACCAAGTTTCAAGTCAATCGAATGCATGGTTCAGTAGTTATAATGGAAAATCCGTAAAAACCACTGTAGATTTATATATTAGTATAGATTATGATGATAAGTCATTTCTTCATCATTACTCCGTTACATAACAGATGTACGAAGGTCGCACGCGGGCGGCCGAGTTGACTGAAGAATTGAAGACCACGCACGGACTCCAGAAAGAAGACAAGGTCAGTTTTCATTATCTAGATTTGAACTGGTCGCCAAGCATCAACGGCTTCTAAAGATGCGGCGGTGCTGTAAGACTCAGAACTTATGTCTCAACATGGGTGGCGGCGTTTACATTGTTGATGTCCACGGACTCTGGTAACCACTTAACACCACGTCAGCTGTGAGCTCATACACCCATTTTGGCAACCAAGGAATCTGGCATATCTAATGTGAAAATGCGAACTTTTGAAGTCTTGGAAGAAAAGCTGAATCGTGCCAACGATATTGACAAGCTATAACAGTATCGCTGGTGTACTGATTGGCGTCGTATCACGCGTGAAAGATCCTTGTGATCCTCAAGATAGGTTTAAACAACTATGCTTTTATTGTGTAGACGGAGGTCACGATTCGTGGTGTTAAGTGGTTTACTGTACCCGTGGTCATCACATGGTAACCGCCGCCATCCACCTCGTGACGCAAATCACGCATTTCGGGCCTAAACATCAAAACTGTCCCAGGAAACGTATAGCCCGGAGCAGATTGGTATGTCCGATGTTACAATGACTCGAGCCTATAATGCCCCCCTAATGTTACTCGTAAGTTTTGACATAATGTAGACGGTAGGAGCCAATAAACATTACAGTGTCGGACTGGCGGTAAGGGCTTTCGATTTAGCTAACATTTTTTGATTTCTGTTACTGATTGGATATGTCATGGATCGTGATTTAGTTTCTTGACATACGATATCATAAGCAGAACTACGCATATTGCTTTAACAGTCCCGCATCGCTCGTGAAGAGACTAAAGCGAGAGAATACAACATCTTCAAAATGGAAAGAGAACAAAGGGTAAGTCTTTCTCGTCATAATCAAGGTTTAGATCCTATAATTCTTGGATTAGACGCCTTCCGTTCTAACACTAGGAGTAGACTTAGGGACCCCGGTTACCGTACTCGTCGAACTTGACGATAAGTTCGATGTGCAACCTAACCCATACATCAGCTCGCTGAGTTTCTCGTCGGATCTTCTCAGCGCGTCGCGATTCCGATCCGGTAGTAGATTCATTCGCGAAGCAGCTGCTCTTGAGTTGTTAGGTTTCCTTCGGAGGCGCTCGGGCAGCTGTTAGCAAACCCCACCCCTCCTGGCTGAGCCCTTGCTCGTTCCAGCTGTCCTGGTGAAACCCGAAAGGCCTCCAGGCCACCAGTAATACCTCAATCAGAAAAAGATGAATGTTTTCCTATTAACTACGTTTGTTTTTGTTTACAAAAGTACTTTTGATACAATGAATTGCACCGATAAGTCGATAACGATACTCTGACTGACTCGGTAGCACACTAGTTAGCGGACCTGACTCCATACCCGATCCTGTAGACCGAATGGTAAACAGTCGACGTCGCCCAAAGCACGTCATCACGGATCCCCCCGATCCATTAACGGTGCTTTTAGGTACCACAAGCACCGGTCACCGTGCTCGTCCTCGTCGCTTGCGACGAAGGTCTCGACGAGCGAATTAACCCATAGACACAGCCCACTGAGTTTCCGCTGGATCTTCTCAGTGGTCGTGTTTCCGAACCGGTGGTAGATTCTGCGGAGCACTGCTCTTGCTAGGGTCAACACTCCGGTTTGAGCACCGTGAGCTCACCTACACACGTTAGGGTGAAGCTGAAATAGCCTCTCAAGGCTATCAGCATAGGTAGGAAAAAAAGAAGGACCTGACTGTTATGCCGAGGGTCGTGGGTTCGAATTCCGCATCAGACAAACATTCGTGTGATGAACAGATTTTTTTGCCTTTCGTCTGAGTGTTTATCAACGTATATATTTAAACGTACATAAGTATGTATGTCAGTCTCTGGTACCCACATCACCGGAAAATCCTAATTTGGGACCGAAATTATTATCACTAAGCACTCAATCCACTAATCGCCTCAAGGAGGAAGCCGTGACTGCACTCGTTGACGAGTTATGCGGGGGCGCAGTCTCGACCGCTTTGGACTTCTTGGAGAAGGAGCTGCGCAGGCTCAGAGAGGAAAGGAGACAGCACGCGTATATACTTATCGCTTGTGAGTTTAAAGCTTAACACGTTGAGCGCCAGACTAGGAGCAATGTTTAGTCCATTGGGACGCCGCGGACCCTTATGACCCCCGATAAGTCGGGTCTGGAGGACGGCGACATTTGACGTCACTGTTTCCATAAGTCACCTATTATGGTAAGGTAGGGTAGGTACCATCGCCCTGCCTGTTTCTGCCGTGAAGCAGTAATGCGTTTCGGTTTGAAGGGCGGGGCAGCCGTTGTAACTGCACTGAGACCTTAGAACTGATATCTCAAGGTAGGTGGCGTATTTACGTCGTAGATGTCTATGGGCTCCAGTAACTATTTAACACCAGGTGGGCTGTGAGCTCGTCCACCCATGCAGGCAATAAATAAAAAATAAAAATTTGAACTATTTATTGACAATGTTGGCAGAAAAATACCTCAACGATTTTTGGACGATTCTTGATATATTCGTACGGTCTTGCGACGAAGGGCTCGGCGAGTAAACTAACCCACAGACACAGCCCACTGAGTTTCTCGCCGGATCTTCTCAGTGGGTCGCGTTTCCGATCCGGTGGTAGATTCTGCGAGGCATGGCTCTTGCTAGGGCTCGTGTTAGCAACGTCCTCAGGTTTGAGCCCCGTGAGCTCACCTACTTGTTAAGGCTACGCTTAAATAGTTTCTCAAGACCATCAGCTTAGGTAGAAGAACAAAAAAAGAGATAAATCCTGGTGGTGGGACCTCTTGTGACTCCGCGCGGGTAGCTATTACCACCCTGCCTATTTCTGCCGTGAAGCAGTAATGCGTTTCGGTTTGAAGGGTGAGACAGCCGTTGTAACTTGCTTAATTGTAACTTAATTCGTTGCTTAATAACGCAGTGCGGGACAAGACGATGCGCGAAGCTGCCGAAGCCGGCAGGAGACAGAAGGAGGAGCATAGACGCATGGAACATGACCAGATGTTCAAGCAGGTAAGTCTGAAGCAGCGGTAGTAGCGGCCAAACTCTAACACCGCCTTCATTCGCTTTTTTTACAGCTATCCGCATAGTCATCTTAAGCTGCTTTCAGACTACGCTATACTATAGTGCAGCGGTCGGGGAACCGTGGTAAATTACCCCCAATGAGGTAAAATGAAATTTTGGGGGGTAAAAACGAAACTTTCCTGAAATTTTCCCGAAAAAAATCATTTAAATCAAAAATGCTTTTTATGGGGGCTATATATAGAATTTTAACTAGTTTTTTCGTCTAATAATACAAGAAAAATATCATATGAATTATAAAATGAGAAGAAATTATCATTTAGTAATATTTTCTGTATTGGTGTTAGTGTGATGTTATATAGCCTATACAGCCTTCCTCGATAAATGGGCTATCTAGCACTGAAATAATTTTTCAAATCGGCCCAGTAGTTCCTGGGATTAGCGCGTTCAAACAAACAAACTCTTCAGCTTTATAATATGAGTATAGATAGTTCCGTAGCGTTTTAAAGACTTTTTTTTTAAATGAACTCTGCAGATATTGGGAGTTACGCAAGAGACAGTCGATGATTATCTGCTGGAGATTGTTAGCGGAGGAGTGGAGCTCGCAGCGGAGAGAGACGCGCTGCGGAGAGCGCAGGCCAATGCGGATAAGATCGATGCGGACTTTGCGGAAAACGAATCGATGTTAGTATCTCAATAGTATATACAGGGTGTTTGTTTTTGGTTTTTTTAATTTTTATTTTATTGCTTAGATGGGTGGACGAGCTCACAGCCCACCTGGTGTTAAGTGGTTACTGGAGCCCATAGACGTCTACAACGTAAATGCGCCACCCACCTTGAGATATAAGTTCTAAGGTCTCAAGTATAGTTACAATGGCTGCCCCACCCTTCAAACCGAAACGCATTACTGCTTCACGGCTAGGCAACCTATATTCTATGTATCTATATATATAAAAAGGAATTGCTGTTCGTTAGTCTCGCTAAAANCTGGTGTTAAGTGGTTACTGGAGCCCATAGACGTCTACAACGTAAATGCGCCACCCACCTTGAGATATAAGTTCTAAGGTCTCAAGTATAGTTACAATGGCTGCCCCACCCTTCAAACCGAAACGCATTACTGCTTCACGGCTAGGCAACCTATATTCTATGTATCTATATATATAAAAAGGAATTGCTGTTCGTTAGTCTCGCTAAAACTCGAGAACGGCTAGACCGATTTGCCTAATTTTGGTTTTGAATTATTTGGGGAAGTCCAGAGAAGTAGACAAATGAATCAAAATGTTCGGAATTAAATAAAAATACCAATTTAGTTTTTCCTTTGATGTGTCCCCGTCTGACGGATTCCTTTTGTTTGTTTCTAGTTTATTTTATACAAAAGTTTAGGTTTTTTATTTATCGATTGAGGCACTACGAAGTCTGCCGGGTCAGCTAGTACTCTATATATAAACACTTCGAAAACACCGTCCCAGCTCGCTAAGTTTCTCGCCGGATCTTCTCAGCGGGTCGCGATTCCGATCCGGTAGTAGATTCATTCGCGAAGGAGCTGCTCTTGAGTTGTCAGGTCTCCTTCGGAGGCGCTCGGCCGGCTGTTAGCAAATCCTGACTGAGTATTTGCTCGCCCACCTGTCCTGGTCAAACTGGAAAGGCCTCCGGGCCACCAGTAATATCTCAATCATAAAGACACCGCTCCGCAGTTCGACGGCGGAGCAGAACGAGCTGGTGGCGGAGCTGGTGCACCAGTTTCTGTTGCCGCACGCGCACCGGACGGCGGCGCGGCACCGCATCGCCGCCACGCAGCAGGCCAGGATGGAGGCGGCCAGGAGCACCATATTTGGTCTCATTGATGAACCGGACAAGACAGGTATAGAACTTTTAATTTTTTTATTGCTTAGTCTGGTGGACGAGCTCATAGCCCACCTGGTGTTAAATGGTTACTGGAGCCCATGGACATCTACGACGTAAATGCGCCACCCACCTTGAGTTATGAGTTCTAAGGTCTCAGTACAGTTACAACGGCTGCCCCGCCCTTCAAACCGAAACGCATTACTGCTTCACGGCAGAAATAGGCAGATTGGTGGTACCTACCCGTGCGGACTCACAAGAGGTCCTACCGCCAGTAACAAGAAAGAACGTAGACCTTAATGGAATAATAAAGAAACACATGCTTAGAGGTTCGCTGTATCTGTTTTTTAAATATATTTTATTACATCTTCTTTTTTTAGTTTTATACTGGAGCGCTTTAAGTCAAGTTGCGTGAATGGTTTAATTTTTTTTAAATTTAGTGTCTCTTCAGGGTCAAATGTTAATTTTGGCTCATTGAAAGTAGAGTGTGTGAACGTGCACCAGCGGAGGGAGATTGAGTAGAGTCGTCGAATGTGGGTTCTCGGGTTTCCCCAAAAAGTCTATTGAAGTTTCAAATAATAACCACTACTTTACTAAGACGTTATTTCATCTCATCCCATTTCGTTCCATTTAATTTCATCCCAATTGATTACAGTCTCAAATAAATCAACTTCATCTCATTATTCGCTTCATATCATTTTTTATATAACAAAGTTATGTATTTATACAATAACTGAGGATTTTTATAAAATTTTAACAGGCAACAATGATATCGCAAGAAACTGTAGTTGCCATATTGAATAAGAGAAGAANATTTCATCTCATCCCATTTCGTTCCATTTAATTTCATCCCAATTGATTACAGTCTCAAATAAATCAACTTCATCTCATTATTCGCTTCATATCATTTTTTATATAACAAAGTTATGTATTTATACAATAACTGAGGATTTTTATAAAATTTTAACAGGCAACAATGATATCGCAAGAAACTGTAGTTGCCATATTGAATAAGAGAAGAAGAATAATAGAGTTTGTCTTTGTTCATTACAGAATTACAATGCATTAAATGCGGCACACCCCTCGACGAGAGATGTCGCTGTAAGATATGTCCTATTTCTCTGGCACCAGCCGAAAGACCAGCCAGAGATGACCCTCGATGGAAGCACACTAGAAGTGAGATTAATCGTAGAAATAAGATCCTAGAACCAAACTTACTTCACAGAAGCCTAAAGCGCACTGTATCTGATGATACAATGACATCCCATTTTGTTGCTTACGAGGCTTTATAATTTGTTTAGAGATGCTTGTTTTTTGTTAAACGATGAAGTAAGGAAGCAGGACATTTTAGTTTCGTAATTTTTTTGTAAGAGACAGATTATGTTAAAACTACAGAGTAGCTTAAATTGAATTAGCTTAGTATATATTATACACGACACACAGACATGGAAAAATAATAATTACGAATTTGCGTATTTCAACAAAAATCCAAATGAACAGCCTTTGGGTCGCCCGTCGCTATCCACAAATGACGTAAACAAATGACTGTTTCAGGTCGGCCCCGTGTCGAACCGAAGTCACTCAGCGAACGCTATCCAGTACATCACGAACTGCGCTGCATGCTCAACGTGTTGGTCGATGAAGGTAGGTCATGGATCACGTCTAATCTGATTGTGCTTAAATTTAAAAGAAAAAGCACTTCAAGATTTTTCGAGAACATTTACTACAGAAACTTCTTTTTTTATTTATTGCTTAGATGGGTGGACGAGCTCACAGCTCAACTGGTGTTAAGCGGTTACTGGAGCACATAGACATCTACGACGTAAATGCGCCACCCACCTTCAGATATAAGTTCTAAGGTCACAGTATAGTTACAACCTACAATGTGGTCGCATACTTTTTACATACCAAACATATTTTGAATTGGAAATCAGTCAATTCACAAAATATGGGTTAATATTCACTGCTACATGTGCAATAGGCGGCGTTATCACTAAAAGCGATTCCTCCATTACATAATTTGAATGCTAAATTCGATACTATTGAATCACCGATTGATGTGCGCGCCTCTAGTGTCGTTTTTTGGAACTTATCGCGCACTGCACATCGCACAACACACCCTGCTTACATAATACACGACTATGTACAGTGAGCTCCAAAAGTGCAGTAGATGGTAGAGTAAAATTTACGAATCTACAACTAGTGCCATCTAGTTGCCGGGGACTGTAAACAAGCAACGGAACTGTATCGAAGTTCGTTATGATTTATGTTTGTGTGCTTAGTGCGAGTCTCTCGACAGCGTAAAAATTAACTCAATTTTTTATGCAATTCGAACGTTTGCCTACAAATTTGAGTTAACTTTTATTCTTGACCACAATCAAAAACTATGGTCAAACCGTTTTACTGGTAAACGTGAAACTGGTGGTAGGACCACTTGTGAGTCCACACCGGTAGGTACCACCACCTCGCCAATTTCTGCTGTGAAGCAGTAATGCGTTGATGTAGGGTGGAGCAGCCGTTTAACTATACTTGAGTCCTAATAACTCATATCTCAAGGTGGATGGCGCATTTACCTTATAGTTGTCTATGCGCTCCAGTAACCACATAACACCAGATGGGATGTTGGCTCGGCCACCCATCTAAGCAATAAACTAACTAACTACCACCAGTACAAACTAACAGTAATAAAACTTGTAAGAATTCTACACTCCTATCGGCTGTCTCTCCCTACGACTGATAGCACACACATGGCATGTCTAACAGCTGTGTTGGGGTCCCGCGACACGCGTCGAGCGAGGGTCGCCTTGAGAAGCGAATGGGGGCGGTCGTTGCGGGAGAGAACCGAAGCTACCATCGATGCAGTGGAGATGATCGACACTGGTGAGTGACATAGGGTCTTTCAGCTTTTGACTTTGGAAGCGGACGAGTGACTGGCGGTAAGCAATCAACCTTATTGGGGACGTGGCCAAGTGGTCTTCACAAGCCACGTTTGATTAAGGACCTATTGTAGCGCTCGGGGGATATTGTGGAGGGGAGCTCATGCCAGAGCCGTGTTTCGCAAGCCACATTTGATTAAGGACCTGTTGTAGCGCTCTGGGGATATTGTGAAGGGGAGCTCATGCCAGAGCCGGGTTTCACAAGCCATGTTTGATTAAGGACCTGTTGTAGCGCTCTGGGGATATTGTGGAGGGGAGCTCATGCCAGAGCCGGGTTTCGCAAGCCATGTTTGATTAAGGACCTGTTGTAGCGCTCTGGGGATATTGTGGAGGGGAGCTCATGCCAGAGCCGGGTTTCGCAAGCCATGTTTGATTAAGGACCTGTTGTAGCGCTCTGGGGATATTGTGGAGGGGAGCTCATGCCAGAGCCGGGTTTCGCAAACCACGTTTGATTAAGGACCTGTTGTAGCGCTCTGGGGATATTGTGCAGGGTAGCTCATGCCAGAGCCGGGTTTCGCAAGCCTCGTTTGATTAAGGACCTGTTGTAGAGCTCGGGGGATGCCATAGAGGGAATTCAAACTTGGGTGGCAGTTAGTGGAAAATCTCATTAAAAGCGCATTGTGGATGCTAGTCTTTGCGGGTAGATGCTACTCCGGAAACCGCGTGGGGCAATAATTACAAACAATTCCTCAGAGCAGTCCTCATGGAACAAACGGTATAAGGCACAGAGTGATGATTCTAAAAGATTCATGGGAATAGGTTTGTCGATAATCCGAACGGCATTCTTCTGTCTTCTTTTTCTCCACTTTATCCCACTAGGTGGGGTCGGCACAGCGAAATTTTTCTATTCCATTCTCCTCTATCAGCCGTCATCTCAACACTCACTCCTCTCTCTCTCGTATCGTCATTCACACACTCCATCCATGACTTCTTCGGTTGACCTCTTCCCCATCTATCTTGCACTACCATTTCGATACATCTCCTAGTCACATGCATCTTCTTTCTATGCATCACATGTCTATACCATACCGTCCGCTTTTTAATTTATCAATCACCGGAGCTACTTTCACACTTGCTCGGCTCTCTTCTCTATGAGGACAAGCATACGGCCCACCTGATGGTGAGTGGTTACCGTCACCCATGGACTTCAGCAATGCCAGGGGCAGAGCCAAACCGCTGCCTACCGCTTAATACTCTCCACAAGCCTCGTTTGAAGAATGACATGTCGTAGCGCTCGGGAAACACCGTGGAGGGGAGCTTATTCCATAGCCGGATGGTACGTGGCAAAAAAAACCTCTGGAAACGCACTGACATCATCGGATTCTCTTCTTTCGGCACACGACACACACGCTAAAGAATATTTGTATGATACATTCTCTTTGTTGGTTTACATGGATAAATAAGTACATACGCCATCAGTTCCCACCCATACTGGATCATCGTACTCACCCTTCGTTGACTTCTCCTTGCAGCTATCAGCAGAGCGACGGGAGAGGTTCCGGTGCCGTTAAAGAAGAGAGAATATCATCACTACATGAAGAGGATCATAGGAGATGCTTTAGGACGGACCGAGCCTTACCACAAGTCGCCGTGTAAGTTTACTTTTTGGTATTTCTCTTGTAGGCAGACTCTCTGTGAGGCTGAGACTTTGACGATTGAAGTTCTGCAGACCGCAACCAGGTTGATTCCTCCGAGATGTGATGCTGGAGGAAGATGCTGCGGATACCATGGACCGCACATTAGACCAACGGATCTATCGGAGCAACTCGCAAAGGTCCAAATGAAAACAAGGCTTATTAGCAGCTGCTTCATGCGAGCCTTATAGTAATCCGGAGATAGTAAAAAGTAAAATAAAATACCATAACAATCGTATATATTCTCTCTCCCTCCCTCTGTCTGTCTGTCTGTCTCTCTCTCTCTCTCTCTCTCTCTCCCTCTCTCTCTCCACACATCCGAGAATAACGTAAAAAAAATTCGAATTGTTCATGTGGCTTGTAAAAGCGATCTGAAATATCGACAGGTCCGCTGGAGCTGCCCTCAGAGGTCCGTCGGAGGGCCGAGGAGGAGGCGAGGCTCGGAGACAGCACATGCCGCTGCGAGGATGACGGAAAGTCTGCAATACAACTCGGTAAAGTAACGCGAATTCGTGTCGAACGCGCACGTGCCTATTCGTCTGAGCACGTGCTGATATGTTTCGTATCTTCAGATGACGAGAAGCATCTGCTGCCCTCAGAGCTCAGGGCGCTCGAGGACCTGAGACGCTGCAAGTGTGACGCTGACTCCATCACCACTGCCACTCATGGTGAGATCCCTTCCTATTTAGAATCTAGACTCTTATAGGTATTTTACTGGTGATAGGACCTCTTGTGAGTCCGCACGGGTAGGTACCACCGCCCTGCCTATTTCTGCCGTGAAGCAGTAATGCGTTTCGGTTTGAAGGGTGGGGCAGCCGTTGTAACTATACTGAGACTTTAGAACTTATATCTCAAGGTGGGTGGCGCATTTACGCTGTAGATGTCTATGGGCTCCAGTAACCACTCAACACCAGGTGGGCTGTGTACTAGTCCACTCATCTAGGCAATAAAAAAAAAAGGTATTTAAACTTTCAATCGATCATGTTGGAGGGGGGTTGGGGGGAGGGTCGGTTACCGAGGCCCGATGACGTCAACAGCGTAAATATCGCGCTGAGTAATCGAAATGAGGTCGTTCGTGAGATGTATACAAACACCGGTACAGTCGCGTCGCTCGATAAAAGCGGACGACTTGAATATATAGAGGTTTTTTTAGAAAACAAGAGACTGTTTGGAGTTGTTTTTTTTTTTATTTCATAGCACAGACCGGTGTGAATGTGCGTGTTACATTAAATCCAGATGTAATAAGTGTGTTTGTTTGTTTGTCCTTCTTTCACGTCGCTTTATATAAAAAAGCGATAGTATCAGATCAGGAGAGTGACTTAAGCCATCATTTATTTCGAAAAAATTAAGCTTGTTAACAACCACCACGGGACTTTATCTTATACCTTTAAACGAGCAATTCTTGTATATATGTATATATGTATATATATATATAATCTGAATCTCGGAAACGGCTCCAACGATTTTCATAAAATTTAGTATAGAGGGGATTTCGGGGGCGATAAATCGATCTAGCTGCGATTTATTTTCGGAAAATGTTGTTTTATTCGTGTTTTCAATAATCAGCTCTTACCGACATCTATTGGCGAATAATAATACTATTTTTCTTAAAATTGAGGGCAACTAACCGCTTTAAAGACACAACGCCATCTTCGTTATCAAAAAAAAAAAGGGCAAAGCGTGATCATCATCTAGTTATCTTTAGAAGATGAAAGAACTTCTGACTTGACCGCGCAAGCAAAGTCACGGACAACGGTTAATCTAATGATAATTTTAAAATCAACAGATCAATGTTCTACCGAAGATTTTGAAACTAATGTCGAAGGTGAAGATGACGAGACTGACCTAATTTAGTTTATAATACAGTCTTTCTTGTAAATATATCGCTTGTTCGGGCCCCGCAATCTATTGGGAAGGTAACGGTCGCGTTGAGCGTCAGCGCGGACGTTGACCTCGCGCGTCACATGCTTATATTTGTATTACATTGCTGTTTTTTTTTATTGCTTAGATGAGCGGACGAGTTCACAGTCCACCTGGTGTTAAGTGGTTACCGGAGCCCATAGACATCTACGACGTAAATGCGCCAACCACCTTGAGATATAAGTTCTAAGGTCTCAATATAGTTACTATAGCTGCCTCGCCCTTCAAACCGAAACGCATTACTGCTTCACGGCGGAAATAGGCGAGGTGGTGGTACCTACCCGCGCGGACTCACAAGAGGTCCTACCACCAGTTAAGAATGTGCAATCTTTGTTCGTTACTATAAAATTCTACAGCAGTGGGTTAATTGTACGTGTGCGATCCAAAACTGATGTTGTTAAGTTAATGATAATGATGAATAGAGCCGTTTTAAGAAAAAAAATTGATAGTCTGCGCAATGGATGCTTAAGTGGTACTTGGAAACTCTACTTGGCGTTCGGTGCCTGTAGGGTCTTTAGTGGAATGTTGGCCTCTTGTTCCAAAAAAGGGCGCATACAAATTCTAGCTAAATACCGACAAACTTTATCAGTATAGCTTATTGTATATTTATATTGTATTTTTTTGTTAAAGAAATCAAATTAAAATTGAATTAACGATTTATAATCACGATTTAAAAAAGTAAAAATTAATTTACGTCCAATAAAAAAAATTAGACGGTAGTTGAAAAAATATTCAAATATATTTTGGTGAGCAAATTTCTGTAATTAGGGGAGGTCGTTATAATATAGTAGTTATAATGAAAATAATCTACTGACAACCGAAGATTGGATAAAATTACGAACTATTGCGTATAAATGAGTCAATGATGACATAATCAAGGGCGGATCCAACTTTGGCGCCAGGAGGGGGTCACATAATCGTGGGCAAGTTAAGAACTTATAATTTAATTTTGATAACAATAGATAATAAATAAATCATGATGTTCCTCAATTAGTCCAAGCTAGTTCAAGTCCTGGAACTGTCTCAGGGGGGGGGGGGTCATGACCCCCATGACCCCCCCCCTCGATCCGTCGTTGGACATAATAATATCGGTATTATGTATTTGGAGTGTTTAAATTTAAAGATGATAATGATGATATGACCTATTATGTTTTTGAGATCAAATAAAGTTACTATAAATGAAACTGTTGTGTTTTATTTAAGCTGTTTATCATACACTAGCGGCCCGCTCCGGCTCCGCTCGGGTCTTTAACAAAAATGTCAACGATATTTGACGTTGTTGTGTAACGCTAGAAAAATTAAATTTTTTTTTTTTTTTTAAATTAACGCCCTGTAGCGTATACGTGGCGCAGTGTGGGAAATATATAATTATGAAGCACTGCGTAGTGCAATTATTCGACACTACATGGCGTGACCGTGCTATCTTGTCTGTGGTTCGAGGGTGAGATTGTCACAGCACTATAGGCGGAACATTCGAGAACCGTAAGACTATTCTTATAAAAGGACAAGTCACTTTGTCCGAAGCCTTTTTCAATCAACATCTCTCGGGCTGCAGTGCAAGTTGTATTACGTATTTACCAAAGTCAATTTAACAGTTCCTTGGTGTATTTTTATTCAACCAGGGTAAGTGTTTCATATTTATTCCCCACACTGTGTCCACAACCTTTATCAAAATTGAAGTTAACACCACTTTGTCTTGTCGTGTAGGTCCTAATAACCGGTACATTACATGTACATCAGTTAGGGTGCGGAGCGTGAACTTATTATCACCTTCGAGATCCCGCAGTACTTTTCTACGTGGACGCTGCCGGAAGCGAGGTGCTCTGGCTAGGCGATCCAAGAAAGTACTTGACTACCGTAGAACAAAGAAACACACCTGCACACACAACCTGGCTCGGATCCAGCAACCCCAGTTGCGGGGAAGCAATCCAGTAATCGTTCATCGTCATTTTGTGAACCAAACTGGTGATACCGTCATTGTTTATAATATTGTTAATTTTAATCTCACTTTCTTAAATACTTACTCGTGTGTTCGGTATACTTACCGACACACATTTAATCAAGGATACCTTACCACTAATTTATTCTGTGTAAACAATTATAATCATTAAATCTGTATTCATGTGTAGTTAATAAACTCAAGTGTAATAATATATATTGTAATTGTTACATTTATTGGCGTGAGTCTCCCAGAGCGGTAAGTGGTGGCGCCCTGAGATCCTCCTCACAGAGTCTCCTGTTCACCGGTTGTCTACCGGTGGTGACGTGTCTAGAAGTGGTGCGACTCGGCCCCGTGTCTTTCGACCCATAGACCACCTTTTGGGGAGTGACGCGACTGGGCCTCATGTAACATCGGCATACCAGGGACACCCTTAGGCACAGACACGTTATAGTTGGAACGAAGTTCCTTACGGCAGGCTTGGAGGGAATAGGGATTTTGCTGCGCGACCGAACTGAAAAAAATGTGATAGTAAAACCGTAAGAAAAAATTTGCGTGGAATAAAACCGTTAAATGAGACGTGCGCAGGCGCGACAGTCGTATACACAAGCGAGTAGTGTATAATACCTTTCTCTTTCTCCCTCTTTCTTTTCGTTCTCTCATCCCTTCTCTCTATTTTGTAATTATTTCTATTTCTATGTAATTTTATGTTGTCAAACAAAAATAAAGAGACATATTTTGTTATTTTAATTGATAATTTGAATTACGATTTTATTTTTATTTTACGTAATTTATTATTTCCTAAAATACTGAATTTCCTAAATACTTTCCTGTACTTAAATGAAAACTAATCGGCAAAATTTAAGAGAAAAATCAAGAAAACCAACATAAAATTGAGCACGATTTTTTTTTTGCAAATTGTGTCGATTCTACATTAGCCGAAGGAACTTCGTTCCTACCTGGTGTCCCACGACACCACATAATAGTTAGACATATGCTGTTGCGGCACTTTTTGTAAATAATAATGTGTTCTACAAAGTCGTAGTACATTATTTTATTCTATCATCAATAGTTTTCGCAGGGCACGCGATGTAAATAATATTTTAGGTATTTTTTTACACCTTGGATTACGTTATTGGAGTTTTAGTAAGGATTCCTATTTTTTTTCAAAAATGATTATAGCCTATGTCACTCGGGAATAGTGTAGCTTCCAAACAGTGCAAGAATTTTTCAAATCGGTGCAGTATTTTCAGAACATATTCAATACAAACAAACAAACAAACCTTTCCTCTTTATAATATTAGTATAGATTGCTTTGTACCGCATACATACACGACCCGTGTTATTCGAGATTCGATTTACTGGTGGTAGGACCTCTTGGGAGTCCGCACGGGTAGGTACCACCACCCCGCCTATTTCCGCCGTGAAGCAGTAATGCGTTTCGGTTCGAAGGGTGGGGTAGCCGTTGTAACTATACTGAGACCTTAGAACTTATATCTCATGGTGGGTGGCGCATTTACGTTGTAGATGTCTATGGGCTCCAGTAACCACTTAACACCAGGTGGGCTGTGAGCTCGTCCAACCATCTAAGCAATAAAAAATAAAAAAAATCATTGCTCCTGTAGATGGCAGTAACATATTACCTATCCTATATTTAATTTTTAATGACGAATGTTGTAAATTTTCAGAAACCACAAATTGATAAAATCTAATATAACAAATAAAGATTGTATGTATGATTTATTAAGTTTTTATTTTCTGTGTTTAGTTATACAATAATTAAATGCCTCAACTTTAACAACATATAAGTTTAAGGGTATCCGCTACAAGATGTCGCTAGTTATACAGAAAAAATATTTGTCTTAAAGTATCGCAGTTTCAAGGGCCTTTGTAATATTCGACTTCTTTTTCCGTAAGATGCTAGAGTAGCGCTTACATTGATTATGGTGCGATGGGAGAGCAGCTCTATCTGTGTATGCTCTATGACAGTGACGTCACAATATATTTTAAGTGACTTTTTGGCGGGAACACGAGGAGTGAAGTTGTGTGATTTGTTTTATTTTGTCTATTTAGTGTTTCTTCAGGTTTAAATGTGTAATAACGGTGGTTTATTAACTGTTTAATATCTGTGAAAGTGCACAAATGTGGGAAAATGAAACAAAGCCTCTGGACGCAACTTCTCGGAATCCTCCAAAAAGTCCACTGAAAAAATCTTAGTAAATGACCACCATTTTACTAAGATTATATTTCATCCCATATCATCTCATTTCATTTAATTTCATCCCAGTTGATTAATGTCTCAAATTAATCATTTTCATTTCATTTCACTCCATGTTATAATTTTTCATAAAAATAAGAATATAAATTAAAATAAGACATGACTTAAAGGTCTTAGTTACCAGGTCATAAAATCACTTAAAAATATATATGTATTTTAAGTCCACGCTGGTGTCCGAAAGAGATAGTTTAATGAAATCTAACTAAGATGCAGACGTGATACATCGTGAATATTAATGAGGGTACAACAAACGCCAAGTGCATCGTGTATCACACTAAATACCTATAAAATTGCTACGTAAAAATATCTAAAATGAAATCGATATAAAATCGATTAATTAATTAATTATTTTTTTAAGTGAAACTTCTTTAGGCGCATCTAGTGTAAAATTTAACTCATGACAGATTCGTTACGGCTAGAGAGAAAAGATACAATTTAGGAAAAGCGAGAGTGAGAAAACAGACAGAGCGTCTCGCGAACCACTAGACCGTTGAGAGAGGTAGAAAGCGAGCTAGGTCATTTCTGTTTTAAGCATTCTGTTTACGGGCGTCGGCCACTAGATGGCTTGTTATTAGTTTCTTGATGCTCCTGTAGATGGCAGTAACATAATATGAACTATCTCATATTTTATTTTTAATGAAGAATTAAAAAAAAAGTGCTATGAATAAGTTAAAATATATTATATATAAATAGTGAAGAGGTCGTTTCTTTTATACACAGCATTTCCTATTACAGGAGAAATTTGATTTAACGATGAAAAATGAACAAAACCACAGTACTACACGCCGCAAAAGAAGTTTCACTTCTTTCACGTGCACCAAATTGCACGCGCACCATTTTGTATTAATATTCATAAAAACATTTTCCCACAAATGTCATACAGATCTCGCATTTCATCACATTAATAAATAAGTAAGCTACAACATTCTTTATTGTTTTAATATCGATATGTTTTGTTTCGCTCGATTCTTTAGATGGTCGTATTCGTGCACGGATTAATCGATAATCGATAAGGCATTAAGCATTAAATCTCTACGTCACTACGTCCGCCATGACAGGTCGGTATTTGGGCGGGAAATCTTATACTATAGATTAATACAATGTGTAGAGTACCGTCTAAAATTGTAGAGCATAAATACATATGATAATAATATTGATATATTAATTGTATACGATTAATTATAGTTTTTGGAAACACCAAAATAAATAGTGTTTGTATAATAGCATTTAAACTTATGACTTAATAATATCGAGGGATGAAAGGCTTATTTGGTTTAAGTTTTTGATTTAAGCTTTGGTTTAATACGCGATCATTATCTTTGTAAGTATGATTTTTTTAAAGCTTAGATGGGTGGACGAGACCTAGACATCTACGACGTAAATGCGCCACCCACCGTGAGATATAAGTTCTAAGGTCTCTCTGGTTTTGATTGAACTCAAATTATGTTTACCCCATTCAAATAGCTGAAGAAGTTTTATTTGTCGGTTTATTTATTCCAAATTTTAAACCTTAAATGGCTCTTCTGTAAAGCTGCGAAAAAATCGCCTAAACCAAATTACAACCTTTCACTCCTCTGTTAACTATTATTCATTTTGTATTTTTATTAACGTACTGTTACGCCGGTAAGATTAGCGCCATCTATCGCCGGATATCCGGATATCGGATCTAGTATTATCTAGAACGCTCGAGAAGTACAACGCCATCTATTGTCAGACAGCGGAAGCACACAATACTAAAATCTTGTGGAATATTCTCGACGATTCTAGGAATGAGGTATCGGCTATAAAAGCGTTGCAGGGATGGCACGCAGTCAGTCAGTAATCGGAACTACTCGAAGCGAAACAGCGAACGGATCACCTGAAGCGAAGCGGAAGAAGCGAACTTTAAGTGTTCTAAGTGTTGAATACAGTGTTGACTTGTAATTCGGTAGAATTTTATTTATCCCGAATCCCAGCGCGTAACAGTACATTAAGCTAAATATTAAGTTTTGAAATCTTATAACTAATTCGTGATGGTTTTAGGCTACGTTTAAATATATTTTTAAAACTTGCGAATATCTCTACAGAACATTACGTCTGTATTAACGAGATTTCGAACACGTAATACGTATGTGTGATTAGACAAAATGGCCGCCGCCCCAATTAACGATTCGCGCTCCAGATTCGATAAATGCAAAACGTTATAAACGTAGCGCTACATCTGAAATTGGGCTTAAGCGACAAACTTTTTGCCTTAACGTACGTCTGTTAGCTCATGAACATTATGAGCGCGAGGTAAATGAGCGACAAGACTGTCACATAAGGTCCATATTCCTTCGCCGAGTTGCAGGCGTCAGCGTCGTTGCAGCTCTGAAGACAGCCGTGGACGTATCTAGAACAGAATGAGTTGACTTTCGGTGGTACTGTAGTTAGGGCCACCGGCTTCCGGTCATCGTTCTCGTCGAACCCGTCGCTTGTGACGAAGGGCTCGATGAATAAATTAACCCACAGACACGGCCCACTGAGTTTCTCGCCGGATCTTCTCAGTGGGTCGCATTTCCGACCCGGTGGTAGATTCTGCGAAGCACTGCTCTTGCTAGGGTTCGTGTTAGCAACGTCGTCAGCTTTGAGCCCCGTGAGCTCACCTACTAGTTAAAGTTACGCTGAAATGGTCTTTCAAGACCATTAGCTTGGGTAGAAAAAAAAAACTGCTGGCTAGCGAGTCGAAGGTAGTTCTATTCCCATATCCCATCCCCTCCTAAGACGTTCGCGTGATGAACAGATTTGTGGTTGATTCGCTCTTTCTCTGGGCGTTTAATATCTATATGGTAGGCATTACGTCAGCAGACAACTGCTCGTACAACTAACAAGTCCCTGTGCAGAAGGGTAGGAAGAGATGCTGCGAGTACCACACATGACAAGAGATGAGCACAAGAAGAAGAAGAATATGTAGACTGTACCTATTAAATCGGAAGGCATTACTGCTTTGCGCCCGAAATAGGCTTATTAATGATGCCTATCTGTGCGAGCTTCTACGCCCTACCACCAGAAGACCGAAAAAGTTTTCCGAAAGCTGTTATGGCACGAAGATCAAAGCTATTCGAGAACGTAGTTCAATTTTAAATCAGAGATTCCTTCTTAATCTTTGTAATGTGTACACACGGGAAATATTCTAACATTAAACAATATTATATTAAAATGTAACAGCTAAATTACCTGTTATTGTAATAGAATCTTCCGCAATGAGACATCCTTATGATTTCAGTGTCAGTAGTGGCCGTACCAGAGTCTAAACCACAACCTCGCACTGTTATGGTTTCGCCTGTGTCATCTGTAAATAAGCACATCATCCATGTATATAAAGTTTAATTGCTTTAAATGCATTGGCTATATCATGGTCATTTTTTTTTAATTTTTAATTGCTTTAGAACAAGGCCGCTACTAAACGATGAACGACTATCCATTCGCTTTATTTATTGCCCGTCTATGCAGACTAGCATACGGCCCACCTGATGGTGAGTGGTTACCGTCACTCATGGACGACAGCAATGGCAGGGGCACAGCCAAGTCCCTACCTAATATTAAAAGTATTTAAACAAAATACGGGAACAGCTTGTTGCAAAACTCACCGAAGACACCGGCTATTTTAATGCACGAAGTTGCAGGGAACAGGCCGTCCCTCCCCTTCCTGCCCCCCATGCAGGACGCCTCCAGCATTTGCAGCGAATGATTGTTGTGGAAGGGATCGTCGCATGGCGGGAATTTCCCGTTCATTGAAACGCATTTGAAACAGTCGATGGCTTGCGCTGTGGACAACTCTTTGCGTTTATGGTAGCCTAGTACTTTTGAGGTATCAGAATAAAAGTAATTCCAGTGCTTTTCATCGTATATCATGCTGGACAGGATATTCACATCGAGACGTCTATAATCTGCGGTAGCTCATCTACGCAAAAAAAAAGAAAAAAGATAACTCACTTGTTTGGTAATTCAAATTCCACATAACTCTTTGTGTTTATGTGAACCTGGTAGAAATTAAAAGAATTTGACGATATTGTAAAATGTGACTTTAAACTTTCAACCATAGAATTATAGGGATAATTTAAATTGTTTTCTTAAAAAAAAAAACTTAATGTCCATCAGTTTTAGTTCCAGTTTGAGCTTCAAATATAAATTAATTTCGGGTTTAAGAGAGATTTGTAAGTACAGCTTAAGTCACATTTACTGAGAGCGACTTCAATAATATAATAAATAAATAAAAATATGTAAGTAGGTAGTGTTAAAAACTAAAGATTCTAATAGCAAACCGAACTTAAGTAGATTTCATAATAAAACCACTTTTACGGTCTAATTTCGTGTCTTTATTGTCTTTATATTATTTCCGACCCTTCAAAACGCTTTTCGTGTTCACGGACGAACATAAAAATCTAGCTCTTTTAGTGGATTCCGAAGACGTTGTAATTACGTGAAGCAGTAATGCGTTTCGGTTTGAAGGGTGGGGCAACTATGCTGAGACCTTTGAATTTGTATCTCAAGGTGCGTGGCGCGTTTACGTTGTAGACGTCTATGGGCTCCAGTAACCACTTAACACCAGGTGGGCTGTGAGCTCGTCCACCCATCTAAGCAATAAAAAAAAAACAAGGAAAACTACTTGACGTTATAATGTTAGTTAATTTTAAGCTGTTATTATATTATTTTCGAACCCACTGAGTTTCTCGCCGGATCTTCTAAGTGGGTCGCGATTCCGATCCGGTGTTAGATTCAGCGAAGCACTGCTCTTCCTAATAGGCTAGGCTACTATTAGCAAATTCTCTAGGGTTGAGCCCGTGAGCTCACCTACCCGTCAGGGCGTAGCTGAAATAGCCTCTTAGGCTACCAGTGAATAGGTAAAGAAAATCAGACGAAACATATCTTTTCAATTATCGTTTAATAGATTTTTTTTATAGCTTTGATGAGTGGACGAACTCACAGCCCACCTGGTGTTAAGTGGTTACTGGAGCCCATAGACATCTACAACGTAAATGCGTCACCCACCTTGAGATATAAGTTCTAAGACCTCAGTATAGTTACAACGGCTGCCCTACCCTTCAGACCGAAACGCATTACTGCTTCACGGCAGAAATAGGCAGGGCGGTATTACCTACCCGCGCGGACTCACAAGAGGTCCTACCATCAGTAAAGAATTAGATTAGGCTAAAGTAATAAAATTATTGTGACGTCATCGGTTTTTGACGCGCGTGCGAATTGTCAAGTTGATCGGACGTTCCAAGTCGGTCATAATAACGTTCAAAGATTCCGCTACATAGATATACTGGGTGTTAGGGGACCGCTTCCGAAAATGAAAATTTGGTATCTACAGAGTTGTAAATTTTGGGGAGCGCGCTATCAGCGCCGCGCCCGGGCGTTCAATGATCCGAGCATCAGCTGTTTTTGATTTTGTGTTTCATTGCTGGTTGTTTTTTAAAGTAAAGTAATGTATTTTTTTATGAAACTATCGTTTCATTTAGCTGTACTAACATGATGGACCATAAATAATGCTAATAGAACGGTTTAAAAAAAATTTTTTTTTGAGCTATTGCATAGCTTTTATCGCGGGCCTTGAGCGCGGCTTACTGTAATCATGAAATTCCGTAACGAAAAAAACCTTACACCCTTCACTCCGCCTACCATGTAGCTCGCGTTCAATACATTCACACGTTGCGCTTGTGTAGTGTTTGTGAATAAGCGCGTGGCGTGACGTCACACTGCATGCGCATCATGAAAAGTCTGCCCATCTCTCTCTCGCGCGGTCTAGCTTATGAGTGTGAAGGGGACAGTTAAGGTTTTGCTTTTATTAATGTTTAATATAGCGTGGTCTTGTTTTATTACTGTTTTAATATTAAATTATCAGTCTCTAATTATAATTGCATAAGTTGATAAAAAATGCTATGCAATAGATTTACCGCGGCAGTTCTCGAGTGCCACACGTGTTTTTTTTTAATCAGGATCGTTTTTTTTCCGTTCCATCATCAAAGGCGTCATTAGTACTATTGTGTCTTCGTTTTCGAAACCGATCTCCTAACACCTAGTATAGATGCAAGACAAGCGTATTAACAAACTCACACAAAGGCACGTTGCAGAGTAGAACCATGATGCTCAAGGAGATTGTAATCATCTTACGAATATTCTGCATCTTTCGTTGATTCTGAAACAGGATATTTGAAGTGAATAACACTACTATTAAACATAAAATCTGACGTGACGTAAACACTGACAGGGACATAGCGAAGTCACCGCCTTCACCTGAACTATGGAGAAAAGCAGAAGCACTGCTCTTGCTAGCTCTGAGATACTTGCCAGTGTTAGCAATTCTCTCATATTAAGCCCTTGAGCTCATCTACCGGTCCCCCTGAAGTTGGGACAGCCCCTTAGTCTACCAATGATAAGGTAGGAAAAAAACCAACCAGCTCTTAGCGTTTTTATATGATGACTAGCTTTTGCCCGCGACTTCGTCCGCGTGGAATACTTACTTTGGTATAAGGTTAAATTTTACCCGCGACTTCATTAACGTAGAAGTAAGTACAGTCAAACCTGGATAAGCGAGAGTTCAAGGGAGCACAATCTTATTCTCGCTTATAGAGGTTTCTCACTAACCCGAGTTTCTCGCTAATGCTCCCTCTGAATTTCGTTTCGCGATATTCCGGATTCAAACGCATTCACTATTTTTAGTTTGTCACTTAATGACAGTACTTTAATTTTCCGTTTTTTACATGATGCAGAACAGAACTTTCCTTCGCAATTGATTAACGATAAACTGAGTAAGTCTGACAAACAACACGGTACACAGGCACACGTGTCCATTCGAAAAGAAAGCGATAAAATAACAACGTTATTTAGTTCCACGAAATAGAATAGGTTCAATATTGACGAGAAAACAACAAAAACAATGGTAGGAAGTTCCACGAAAGCTAAGAATGAGTCATAAAATAGCAGATGTTAAATTTGTAATTTGTTTTGTCATTTGTTCCTCCTAAATAATATAAATAAATAAAGCTCGACTGTCGCTTATAGAGGTAAAGATAAGTAGCAGTCTCCCTTACGGAGGTCCATGAGGGAAAAACGACTCTCTCTTACCAAGGTTTTTGTTTCTCGCTAATAGAGGTTTTGGGAGCTCAAAATGACGGGTCCTGGCTATTACTCTCACTTATAGAGTTTTCTCACTTATCCAGTTCTCACTTACCCAGGTTTGACTGTATTCGGAAAAAAATCAGATAAAATTTTATATGTATTTTATATTTTTTTATTACTGGTGGTAGGACCTCTTGTGAGTCCGCGCGGGTAGGTACTACCGCCCTGCCTATTTCTGCCGTGAAGCAGTAATGCGTTTCGGTTTGAAGGGTGGGACAGCCGTTGTAACTTTACTGAGACCTAAGAACTTATGTCTCAAGGTGGGTGGCGCATTTACGTTGTGGATGTCTATGGGCTCCAGTAACAACTTAGCACCAGGTGGGCTGTGAACTCGTCCACCCAGCTAAGCAATAAAAAAAAAATAAAAAAAAAATGTAAAGAAAAAATGCATCATTCACCAATATAACTGGCGGTCATATTTTTTATATCAGTGAAACTATAAAAAGATTAATAAAAATAAAAAAGGGCCTTTAAAGGAATGGAATCGTTTCATGGTGTGTTTATTATTCTTATTGAACTATTTCTGATATTTCGATTACACAAAACCGGAGGAGTATAGCAAGATTATTAGAAATAAAAGAATATTTCAGTAAAGAAGTACGTAGTCTAAATCACTGAGTATTTTTCTTTCATGATGTATTTTTTTTATTGCTTAGATGGGCGGACGAGCTCACAGCCCATCTGGTGTGAAATGATTATCTACTGGAGCCCATAGACATCTACAACGTAAATGCGCCACCCACCTTAAGATATAAGTTCTGAGGTCTCAGTGTAGTTACAACGGCTGCCCCGCCCTTCAAACCGAAACGCATTACTGCTTCACGGCAGAAATAGGCAGGGTGGTGGTACCTACCCGTGCGGACTCCCAAGAGGTCCTACCACCAGTAATAAAAAGTGTTGCATATAAAGTCTCTTCAACTTGAGAAGCACTTGCAGTGTTCTTTCGAAATACTTCTATGTACATTGATAGAGAATAGAAGACGCATCGAATGTAGCAAAAGCAACTTGGGGTGTTCGGAACTAAATAATTTTCCTTAGAACTGTAATATCTGTAATCTGTAATAATATGTAACAACTGTAATATAAAATGTCCGAAATTAAGATGGCGGTCCTAACAATCGAAACTAGTTAGTAAACTTTAGAAAACATACTTCATTTTTGAAATTATTCGCTCCACACTAACGAACAGACCCGGCTTATTCAATTTATTGTGTATTCCACGAAACTATTAGGCCATCGTCACTCAAACTAAAGCGAAAATAAACATATGCAAATAACACAAAATTTACTAATCCTACCAACGAATAGCATACAACAGAGAACCATTTTATTTAAAATTCCATTAATAACTTCCCGCGGTTTACATTTAGGTACATTATTTTTGCTACAAAAACGCAAACATCCCGTGAAAATCCATAAGAATTTATTCTTTATCTCGAAGCAATACCGTCGAATATTGTATGGATGCTTGAAGATTATTATGAATTTAAATCTAGACGCCATGTTTATGAAACGTCAGTTATCCGTGTCGCCATTTTATGTTCGTGTGAAATGCGTTGATTGAGTACCTTATCTCATAGCACTTAAGACCAAAATTGTTTATGTCGTATGTCATGTTCATTTGTAAAAATTGTTAAATTTTATATTGAACTCTATTAATGAGACGTCAAATTTGAAATTGTTTTAAATTTTCAATGTCTATTCAAATTTGTTATTCTTCTTAAAATTTAAACTAACTACAAAACAGATCTAGCTTGGTCGAACCCAAACTATAAATGCGATGTATTTTTCGTGATCCCGGAAAAAATAAAAAATAAAAACAATTACCCAAAAATCTGAGTGCTCTGAAGATTTGTTTGAGAAGATACCATCATTTCGTTTTTACTATCGCACCGCCCGCCACTGGAGTAGAGCTCATTCATACTACCTGGAGCCACTGCGGTCATCCACAGTGCGTATCCAGAGATTTTTTTTGCCACGTACCATCCGGCTTTGGAATGAGCTCCCCTCCAAGGTGTTTCCCGAGCCCTATGACATGTCCTACTTCAAACGAGGCTTTTGGAGAATATGAAACGATAGGCAGAGGCTTGGCTCTGTCCCTGGTTTTACTGACGTCCATGAGCGACGGTAACCACTTACCATCAGGTGGGCCGTATGCTCGGCTGCCTACAAGGGCAACAAAACAAAAGGATCAATATAGGGTCGGATTTAGGTTATTCGAAACCTAACCCATGCATCAGCCCGCTGAGTTTCTCGCCGGATCTTTTAAGCGGGTCGCGATTCCGATCCGGTAGTAGATTCATCCGCGAATCAACTGCTCTCAAATTGTTAGGTCTCCTTCGGAGGCGCTCGGGCAGTTGTTAGCTAATCCCACCCCTCCTGGCTGAGCCTTTGCTCGCCCATCTGTCCTGGTGAAACTGGAAAGGCCTCAGGGCCACCAGTAATCCTTTAGTAAGAAAAAAACGAGCTTAATTGGCATCTAGTCCATTATCTTATCTATTGTTTTAAGCCACGAACGTTTTCAAAGTCCTTTAGATTCTTGGTAAAATCCAAATCACGATCGTGCATTTCCGAAGGGCGTGTAAAAAACACCAATTAAAAATTACATATTTGTTTTAAAAGTTTTACTGGTGGTAGGACCTCTTGTGAGTCCGCGCGGGTGGGTACCACCACCCTGTATATTTCTGCCGTGAAGCAGTAATGCGTTTCGGTTTGAAGGGCGGGGCAGCCGTTGTAACTATACTGAGATCTTAGAACTTATATCTCAAGGTGGGTGGCAGCATTTATGTTGTAGATGTCTATGGGCTCCAGTAACCACTTCACACCAGGTGGGCTGTGAGCTCGTCGACCCACCTAAGCAATAAAAAAAATGTATTAATTTGATGAAAAAAAATATCGAAATCTCATTTCGAAAATTAAAGTTAATTGAAATAAAAAGAAGTCAGCCTTTTAAGCCTTTAATGAAAACAAAATGGAATCATTAATTCCATAATCAAAAACTTGAGATTCCATCGTCTTACTAAAAAAAATAGGTCGAAATAAAAAAGGCAATTTCGCGTTTATTTTTCAGCGTATTCAAAGAACAGCCCTCAATTCCATTAGCGTTTCAAAACAAAACATGATATTCTTCAAGCAAAAATCATTCCAATCGACACGAAATTCGCCGTTCCTCAAATTTTAACATAAATCAATAAATACGAAGCCCTTTTAATAATGTTTATACGTAAATAAATCAATAAATACGCTTTGTAGCAACTCACCTTTTTTACGATTCTCGAAAAACACTTCCGTCAAATGTAGGTATATTAAAAGATTAAAAATATAACTTAGGCCTCATTTTCCATCGATTTACGTACAAGCGCACTCGCGTATGCAAAATTATTGACTGTAAAAGTCGAACCTGAAAGCTCATTGCTGAAATAATCGAATTTCAGTGATGCCAGAAAACAAATTCACGTTCACGAAGACAGAGTTTGATTTTTTTTAAATAATCCGACCTCTTTTTTTTTAAGATAAAATAAAATTATTTTCTCAGTCTTTTCTTATAAGTGTTATAAATTTTGTAAATAATGCGTATTTCAAATATTTCACCACATATATCACTACAAGTAACTCCGTAAACGTAATCGCTAATGTCAAATCGGGTTGCGTTTCAGAGACATTATATTAGTTTTGTCCATATTTGAAGCATACACGACTGAAGGGTTATATTTTTTTTACTTCCGACGAAAATTTTGTATTATTTATCATGATAATTTAAATACACTTTGGGTTGGTAATGGCTTATTAATGAAACATTATTGTTTTTTAAATAAAGATTCCATTACCAGACCGAGAATACAAGCCTAGAGATAACTTTAACGGGACGGTTTTTTTTTTTTTTTTTTCCTACATAATCTGAGAGCCTTGAGAGGCTATTTCAGCGTAACCCTAACGTTTGTAGGTGAGCTCACGGGGCTCAAACTTGATGACGTTGCTAACACGAACCCTAGCAAGAGCCGTGCTTCGCAGAATCTACCACCGGATCGGAAACGCGACCCACTGAGAAGATCCGGCGAGAAACTCAGTGGGCTGTGTCTGAGAGTTAATTTACTCGTCGAGCCCTTCGTCGCAAGCGACGGGTTCGACGAGAACGGTGACCGGTGCTTGAAGTACCTAGAAGCACCGTTAGTGGGGACTGATTAGGACACTAATCCATCAACAATTTCAGCGGCACTTAAAAGGACGTGACAAAACGCTAAGGGCGAGGATTTTTTTCTTTTTTTTCCTGCCTAAGATGATGGTCTTGAGAGACCATTTCAGTGTAACCTTAATATGTAGGTGCTGCGGTCTGGAGTCGCTGATGCAATAACGACTTCTTCCTACACGAGTAGTAGATAGCCGTGACATCGGCGCTAGAGGGCAAGGCACATATTTCCTTGTGTCTATATAATAATATTATTTATGTATTAAAGAATGATACATCTATGTCTATATATTTTTTTATTATTTTTTTATTCCTTAGATGATTGGACGATCTCACAGCCCACCTGGTGTTAAGTGGTTACTGGAGCCCATAGACATCTACAACGTAAATGCGCCACCCACCTTGAGATATAAGTTCTTAGGTCTCAAGTATAGTTACAACGGCTGCCCCACCCTCCAAACCGAAACGCATTACTGCTTCACGGCAGAAATAGGCAGGGCGGTGGTATCTACCCGTGCGGACTCACAAGAGGTCCTACCACCAGTAATTACGCAAATTATAATTTTGCGGGTTTCATTTTTATTACACGATGTTATTCCTTCACCGTGGAAATCAATCGTGAACATTTGTTGAGTACGTATTTCATTAGAAAAATTGGTACTCGCCTGCGGGATTCGAACACCGGTGCATCGCTCAACACGAATGCACCGGACGTCTTATCCGTTAGGCCACGACGACTTTTTTAATCTTTATATCAATCTTTGGCTCACACACGTCACACAGTACAGAGAATCATCTTATCTAATCCTGCTGGTGGCGATGTCTACGACTCAAGCTATGTGATTAAAATTCCAGATTATTTAATATAATAAACGCGTATAATTTTGGAAGTCGTCGTGGTCTAAAGGATAAGACGTCCGGTGCATTCGTATTGAGCGATACACCGGTGTTCGAATCTCAAGCGGGTACCAATTTTTCTAATGAAATACGTACTTAACAAATGTTCACGATTGACTTCCACGGTGAAGGAATAACTTCGTGTAATAAAAAACAAACCCGCAAAATTATAATTTGCGTAATTACTGGTGGTAGGACCTCTTGTGAGTCCGCACGGGTAGGTACCGCCACCCTGCCTATTTCTGCCGTGAAGCAATAATGCGTTTCGGTTTGGAGGGTGGGGCAGCCGTTGTAACTATACTTGAGATCTTAGAACTTATATCTCAAGGTGGGTGGCGTATTTACGTTGTAGATGTCTATGGGCTCCAGTAACCACTTAACACCAGGTGGGCTGTGAGCTCGTCCACCCATCTAAGCAATAAAAAAAAACTGAAAAATTAATTTAAATTATGTCTCATCCTTTAGTTCACGTATGCTTATTGATGGACCTCTGTTGTAGAAAACCTTCTATTACAAATGAAGGGGAAGCGAAGTTCGTGTTGAGCGTCAAATGTTTATTTGTGGTACGCCGTCTCGTGTGTCCGAACGGGTAGATACCACCACCCTGCCTATCTCTACAGTGAAGCAATAATGCGTTCCGGCTTGCGGAGTGTTACAGCAAATTTATTAAACTATTCAGCTTTTGATCCACATCTCAAAGTTGGTCGCGACATTTGCTTTGTGATTGTCTATGGCCTCCAGTTAGAGAACAACACTGGGTAGGCCATGAGACCGCTGATGAAGCATGTCAATTTAAAAAAAATAATGTAAAAAAATGTTTACCTTCAACAAAGAAATTAAATTTTATTGGTACGTCACCTTGTCTGGCTGAATTGTTGATAAAATAAAAAATATGAATGATCCTTTCAATTACGTTTATTTCTCGTCACAATTTAAAAAAAAAACAGTACGCTTACAAACTACTGTTGCTTGGAAAATGAAAAAAATATATTTGTTTATTTTACTAACAGTATTTTTTTCGAATCATCAAAATACAGAATTTAGGTATATTAACACAATTTAATTTCCCTAAAAGAATCCTGAAATTCATTTTTGATGCAAAAATGTTCAAACCTGCATACATTCACAATTAATTTACAATCTTCTTCATAGTCTAATATTGAGTATGGTTTGTACAGTTTCAATACTGATTCACATAATACATTATTAATAACGTAACATTTATTTATTAAAATAATAAATTTTTCGTCCTCAAAATTTAAACATTCTAAAATGTACACGCCATATTTGAACGTTACATCTTTAACTCTGAAAGCGGTGTATTCTTCTTTCGGAATGACGAAATTTGAATTTTCAGCCAGATACTTCTCGTGTTGCCAAAGTGAAATTTTAGCATTCTGTTTTTTCAACAAATCAGTAAGACGGTAAGCTAGGCCTCCTTTTTTGTATCTAACTTTTTTCCTTCTGTCATTATCAAAGGTAGAGTCTGTAGACGTTGTGGCCGATATTTCTTTTTTTATTTCCTTTGAGGGTACTTCATTTTGCGATTTGCATGTCAGAATTTCTACTTCACTCATCGAGCTGGTATCTGTGGTGTCATGAATAGAATGTTCGGAGGTCGATTGTGAACAAAAATTTCTATCAAAGAATGTACTAACCTTTTTTGTTAAATCTAATTTAGCTTTCGATGTGCCATCATTTGAACTGTTTTCACAAATTTCCTCTTTTACAATGTCATTAGAACATCCTATTTCTAATTTTATCTTGTCTGTATTAATTCGATTTGGATTTGGATTGATATTATTGCAATTATTATTTAAGGTTATTTTTGTCTTCTCATTTATTTTATTTATTTGTTTTGGATCAATGCTGAATAATTTCTTTTTAACTTTCATTGTAGACTTTGGTGATAGCTTCGGTAGGAGAATGGGGCTGTTCAAAATACTCCTGGTAGTTAAAATTGGCGAATTATCATCGTTTTTCTGTGTCAAAATTGGACTTTTACTGATTCTAGTCTTTTTACACAAAATAGGTGATTTCTCAATATTTTTCGCTCTTTTTTGGTCTTCTGTACAGTCAATTATCGTAATATCTAAATTGGAAAGGTTATTAAGAGATTTTTTCTTAAGTTTTCTCTTCCTTCGAACACTGTTGGTGTTTTTGCAAACACTCTTGTTGTAATCTAGGTTTTCGTAATCACTCAGTGAGCTGGACGACCAAGTAATCTCTTCACTGCATTCTTGTGAATTTAATAGGCGAAATTTGTCTAAAAACACATTTTCTTTTTGTGTTTTCATGTTTAGTGTTTACTTTACTGCTATTGTTTTGATATTTCTCGAATCCAAATCAACATTAGACATTTGACATTTTTGACGTTAAATATTTTAAATGTGGTACCAGTTTTTCTTTTTTTTCTTTGGTGATTGGCTTCTTGTAATGCCATTGCTGGCGGGATCGAATAGATTTATTTTTCAATTATTCTAAAATTTAATAAACATACGTGTACTAAAATTAAAAAAGCGTAATGTATTTTAAATTACTTTTTAAGTGGGATGAAAATTGAATTTACAAATGGATTGAGACAAAATGAAATAATACCTCGGCCAAATAGGAATTTACTACAACTTAAGTGGAAGAACCCAAGAAGCCACGTACTTGGTTTCATTTTTCCACATTCGAGCACTTTTAGATATAGTAAAAATCAACAAGACAACAATATTGATAATTTAAACCCGAAGAAACTAAATTCACAAAAATAAATAATTCGAATAAATTCAAATTGCTGATATAAAGTCATGGTAGCTTTCAGGATACTACGGTTTTGTATTGTCAGTAAGTTATTAAAAGATTCCACATTTGGTATAATTTTTTTGATTTTTCATCCATTTTCTTAGGTAATCTTCCTAATTTCGTAATAATTAGGTCTTAAGGGTGGTTTCCTATGATATATATATTTGAAGAAAAAAACCTAAATCGTAATGATCAATACCAAAATATAATGTAAACTATGTATTTCTTTTAAAAAAAAAATGGTTTTCCCAATCTCACACAATTCGGATCGAGTTAGTTTCGAACACTCATAGTTGTTACAAAAAAAGTTGACATTGCATAGTTGGCAATGCTGCTACCGCCATGTTATTCTGCTAAGTTCACATTGGTGTGCTCTCAAAACAAATAGTGTGCTCGCGTCGTGCGATTCTTTGTTTATCACCAAAAAAAAAAACATTCATCACACGAAAGTTTTCATTGAACGGCATAACCGCGTGCACAGTTTTTGTTTAACTGTATTAAAGTCCATATTTCACAAGATAAATCGTACCGTCGCCGCAATGGAAGTCGATCGCATCGCTTCCGACTCTGAAAACGTGGCGATGGACGAAAAGCCGGTCGTAGAGCAGGGCGCCGGAGACGCTGCGACGTCCAATCCCGAGCGATTACGTCGCAAGAACAAGAAATACGCTCGTTCTAACAGCAAGGACGGGCCGAGCGCTGTGACGCCGCTCCCGAAATATCGTAGCTGGAAGAACAGCCGAAGACCACGCAATGGCCACGGCAGGGGGTTACCGAAGAAAGGTGAGTGGTTTTAACCAAAAAACCGGCTTAATTGGTTATCATCTAGCTATTATTTATTCATGCGGGCCGGGGAACTTTCTGGAAGCAATGCAACCTGAACCCAGTTGCATTTTGTGCGAGTTTACGTAACCTTTGTTTACTACGCAGTTTTAGCTATATATAATATATACATGTAAGGAGTTTTGTACGTGTGAAGGTCACAGTATCGATGCATTCGGACGCTACTGCGCAGTAATGCCCCCCCTATTTTAGGCGTGTTTGATAATAAAAATACGCGTTTTTAGACAAACTAACGCGGTAGATAAAAGTTGAACGACACATTACGTAATGATTGTAAACAACTTTCGTATCGTAAAGCAAGGCTATTGTGGTTCGACTCATAATTCGAAATTATACTTATTCTGTTTTAAAAATTAAAACCAGCCGACAATAAAAAAAGTCGCGTGACAAATGAGTCGTCTATTATCAAAGGTGGCAATCTGTGCATTTGGACAAAAAAATGTTATTGATATGTCAATACAGATTGATTTGAATATAATCGTCTCCTTCAAAGAATACGGTTCAAAACCTGCATTAAATAAAAGTTAATACTTAACCTGTTATTTATCTAAGATGTCGTTCAGAAGAGTTTTGTGACTGCCAATGGAATACAAAGTCAATAATTCGTTTTTCTGATTTACCAATAATTGTCCAAAAGTCACATTGCCGGCTTTGATAATAGTCGACTCAAATGCTAGCCTATTTGAAGTTGTTAAGGGATGAAATATTTTTATAACTCACAGGGATGACTCATTTTTGTAATTTTCCCCCGGTGCTTTATTTCATTTTGTTAATGAGGAGAAACATTATAGATTATTCATTATGTAAAATAAAACTCAATGTGAACACAATATACTTGAGAAACATTTGTAGCAGCAAGCATACTTTTTAATTCACCTCGCTCCTCGATAAACCTTCTAAAGCCAGGTAGAAGACACCAATATGAAAGTTGTTGGTTAATTTAGTCAATAACCAATTTCAAGTCCGACCTTTTCTTTCACAGCAAGAAATTAGTAGAAATATCCTTATTTTTGTCTTTATGGTTATTACATTTTTGTCACTAAAATTGTTTTAGTAATCGTTATTATTCTATCAATAAAAAAATATCCTTTAGAATTAGTATTTTATAATTATAATTTGTTAGAACAAACAAAAAACTCCAGATTATTCAAAAAAATTCTGGAGCTAGGTTTTACTACATATAATGGAGAAATGTGCCTCTAATAATTCTAAGTGTGTATTATAAATATTGTTAGTATTAATTTGATAATAATATTAATAAATAAAATTATAAATAATACATACTTAGAGTTTTAGTCATAATTTTTTTGATGCAAGCTTTCTTAAAGACAGTTCTCCTTTATAATATGTAGTAAGAAGTCTACTTTCAGAAATGTTATAAATAATCTAGACTTTGTTACATACCTATACTTAGATTCTGTTTTATTTTGTAATTAAAGTAGGTATAATAATAAATGAATATATTTATAAACCATGGAAGTGGATGTCAAAAAATATCAATAAAATTATGTATGTACAATATTAATAAATTAATATTAAGCTAAACTGGAATATTAACTAACATGACTTACCTTGAGTATTGAATTATGAATTTAATAAGTATACGATACTTCTTTTTTTTTTTTTTAATAAAATTTTAATTTATATGTATGACTAGGCATAAGGGAACGGTATAATTAGGAAACGTAACTATGATAGCAGAAAGAAAGAACTATTATCTTTGCTCTGTCCCAATAGAACTCTATACCAGGTAATGGAATAGTATATAGATATGGTATGTAGATAATCTTCTCTATCTAATCTTCTGTTATTTTATACTACGGACGCATAGTCATGTTCCACTGTGCCAATGCCAATATAGAAATAAATTTTATTGCATTTACACTTTTGTCCGAACAACAATATCAGTGAAATCGGTCGATACGTTTTGAAATGATGCTTCATCATACATGTGGCAATTGATTTCAATTTAATTTGATGACTTTGTATGCATTGCGCTGAATTTTCAATGTTTCGATGACAAAACTAATCTTGTATGGCCATTTTTGCTTTGACTGATCTATATGTTACAACACTCACTGTTGTACTATAGATAACATGAGTCTAATTTGAATTATTCATGTAAAAAAACCATCTCTGTAAAATCCACTGAATATTTGTATGTAAGCTATGACTAACAACTATTATTTAAAGTGTTAGTCAGAAAAATGCAGTGTAGCAGGCGGTTTCTGCCGTGAAGCAGTAATGCGTTCTGGTGTGAAGCATGGGGCAGCCATTGTATTGTAAAAAACTGGTACCGTACAACTCATATCTGAAGGTGAAGGCATTTACGCTGTGGATGCCTATTGGCTCTGGAAACCACTTAACATCAGGTGGGCCGTTAGCTCGTCCGCCCATCTAAGCAATAAAAAAGATTTAAAAAAAATTCTAGTTACTGGCCATACCTCCTACCTACCTGATGATGTCTATGTATGGTGATGATAAGTAGGTATCATTATTTTGTCTAATTTTCAGTTGAAAATTAGTGCAAGTTGCAAGTAGAATCAGATATCACTAATTTGCAGTTTCAAGTTAGTGATGTCTGATTCTAATATAGCTGAGACTGAACTCTAGTGTCAAGATATATGAAGGTAATCGCATTGTCATTACACATTTAAGTAAAAAATATATACTTATAGGTAATTTCAGATTGGTAACAGAAAAAAAAAAATATCTTGCCTATATGAAAACTAAAAAAAAAATTTTTTTTTTTTTTTCATGTAAATATTTACTAACAATCACGCCACGTTAACTGGTCCCGTGCTAAGTTCGTAAAGAACTTGTGTTACAAGTACCAGATAACGGAAATAAATATAATATTTTTATTATACACATACATATATTTAATATACATCCATAACCCTGGAAAAGACATTTATATATTTTATCATACAAATAACTTCCCTTGGCGGGATTCGAACCCGCGACCCCCTTGTGTAGTGACCATGTCACTTACCACTACACCAGACGGCCGTTGATTGATAAGTAATACAAATAAATAAAGTAATTAATGAATTAATACGAAAACAAACACACAGCTCTCATATTAGTGTATGACCTAAATGATTAAAGTTTTAAACCTAGAGATAAAAACGAAATGGAAACAAGATAATTTTATTTTTTTCATTGTTATCTACCATATTTTATTGTTAATCAGTGGCGTGTTTTAACTTTATCTCTTCACTGTGCAACAAATATAAGATTTACATGACCGAGACTGGTCATTATTGGCTTTGTCAGAGACAATTTACTATGCATTTTAAAATATATATAAAAAAAAAAGGTGCAGAGAATATTAACATGAAAATAGTAATTACTGTAGGATTAGCAGCCTTGTTCAAAGCGGTAGCCCACAGAAGAGAAAGTCCTAGTCGTTAGCAGAATGTTTATTTATTATTGAGGCATTATTATTGAGATATTTACTGGTGGTAGGGCGTCTTATGAGTCTACACGGGTAGGTGTACCACCACTCTGCCTATTGCTAACGCGAAGCAGTAATGAGTTCCGGTTTGAAGAATTGTTCAGAAGTTGTACATTCATCAGGTTTGAGCCCCGTGAGCTCACCTACTAGATCAGCTTAGGTAGGAAAAAAAAATTAGAATGTGACACAAAGCTCAGGTTAGAATTGCATTATAGGTACCATTATACTACCATTTTCATATGAGCTGTGAGCTCGGCTGAATGTGAAGCTAAAATAATAATTTAAAAAAAACCCTCCTTTGAGGTTATTAACCGCGCTACTGACCAGATTGACCACAATCATAAGAAAAAGGTTTTTAATAAAAAAATAATAATCGCACAGACGGTTCTCAAGCGATGCTAAGTGATGTCAATACTGGAACGCATTGCTGCTTCGAAATAAATGTCCAGCGTCTCTCAAATAATTATTTCAATGGCTCTCAAATAGTCGATACGTAAAATCATGTATGTACCAACGCACGTGCTCTTATGTTTATTACAGCACATATACCCGGCTTTATCCGGGTCATGTTATTTACTATATATGACACGAATTTTATTTTATTTTATTTTTATTTGTTAGACTCACAATACACATCACAAGCAAAAAAAGATACATAAAAAACACAAGTAAAAAGAAACAAAATCAGGCTTGCAACGTAAGTTATGTGCGCACGACAAAATAAGACATATAGTGCTGAATTTGTACAACAACGTTCCTTACAATTACGACAAAACAATACGAAAATTAATCTAACTTATAATGTAAGGAAAAAAAAATATATTCACAATATAATACATTAAACAATTACATTAAATTACAATTACAATTGATCTTGTCTTTTGTTTTTCCGGCGGCGAACCCAAATTTCTTTTTTTTTTTTTCCTTCTTAAGCTGGTAGCCTTGAGAAGCTATTCCAGCGTAACCTTAACTAGTGGGTGAGCTCACGAGGCTCAAACCTGACGACGTTGCTAACACGAACCCTAGCAAGAGCCGTGCTTCGCAGAATCTACCGCCGGATCGGAAACGCGACCCACTGAGAAGATCCGGCGAGAAACTCAGTGGGCTGTGTCTGAGGGTTAATTTACTCGTCGAACGGTGACCGGTGCTTGAGGTACCCAAAAGCACCGTTAGTGGATCGAGAGGATCCGAGATGACATGTTTGGGGCGACGTCGACTGCTTTCCATTCTTTCCGCAGGGTCGGGAATGCGCGAACTCAAAGCGGGGTACTAAAGGAATTCTGACAGCGTCAACCTTCCGGCGTTTCCAGGTGGGGCGGGAGGCAAAGGCGTGTGGGGTCTGCCAGGATCTGAGATGCTCGAGGAGTACGTGGAGGACCAGAACGATCCGAACTACGATTCGGAGGCGGTCACCAACGGCGACATCGAATTCAAGCAGGTCATAGTCGAAGCGGAGCCCGAGGATATTATCGTGAGTGATTCAGGAGTTATTTACTAGTGGTAGGACCTGTTGTTGTGAGTCCGCGCGGGTGGGTACCACAACCCTGCCTATTTTTGCCGTCAAGCAGTAATGCGTTTCGGTTTGAAGGGTGGGGCAGCCGTTGTGACTATACTTGAGACCTTAGAACTTATATCTCAAGGTGGGTGGCGCATTTATGTTGTGGATGTCTATGGGTTCCAGTAACCACTTAACACCAGGTGGGCTGTGAACTCTTCCACCCATCTAAGCAATAAAAAAAAAAACGGTTCATTGACCCGAAACGGCGTTAGACGCTTGAGCCAAGGAGAAATGAAAGCCAATAGTAAATTTACTAAGCTCAGCACTTAGTTTATTAGTCACTTTACAGTATTTGACGGTAGGCAGTGGCTCGGTTCTGCCATTGGCATTGCTGAGGTCCATGAGCGACGGTAACCACTCACCGTCACCGTATGCTCATCTGCCTACATGGGCAAAAAAAGGAAAAATGAATAATAATAATTGAATTTTTCATAAATCGTAATTGGATAGTTCCTAAAAATCTATTTGTGGCATTGTTAGGAAATGCGGGTAGGTACGACTAATATAAAGTGACAATTTTTTTTGTGATTGCTTGACTCCTGTAATAAACCCTTGTGTAAATTATGTAAATGTAAATCCAGTACTTTCTGTACCTCTTCCCACGTAGGCACTTTTGTTAAATTAGCCCATTTAAATACTTACTATCTGCTTTACTGGTGGTAGGACCTCTTGTGAGTCCGCGCGGGGGGTGGGTACCACAACCCTGCCTGTTTCTGACGTGAAGCAGTAATGCGTTTCGGTTTAAAAGCGGGGCAGCCGTTGTAACTATACTGAGACTTTAGAACTTATCTCAAGGTGGGTGGCGCATTTACGTTGTAGATGTCTATGGGCTCCAGTAACCGCTTAACACCAGGTAGGCTGTGACCTCGTCCACCCATCTAAACTATAAAAAATGCTTTTAAAGATCGGAATCGAAAATAGCCATATACTGGGACTGCCCGGTTTATTTGTGCGTTCGCCTGTGATGTTGGCACAGACGCATCGATTGCGTAAAAAGATTATATACTAACGAACTCCGATTATAATAAATAGAGGTTTCTAGATTAGCATTAAAATTAACATTTACCCTCCCCCCATATATGAGTCGTCTATTATCAAAGGTGGCAATCTGTGCATTTGGACAAAAAAATGTTATTGATATGGCAATACAGATTGATTTGAATATAATCGTCTCCTTCAAAGAATACGGATCAAAACCTGCATTAAATAAAGTATTAACTTAACCTGTTATTTATCTAAGATGTCGTTCAGAAGAGTTTTGTGACTGCCAATGGAATACAAAGTCAATAATTCGTTTTTCTGATTTACCAATAATTGTCCAAAAGTCACATTGCCGGCTTTGATAATAGTCGACTCATATATGTCGTGTAATAAAAATCAAACCCGCAAAATTATAATTTGCGTAATTACTAGTGGTAGGTGAGCTCACGGGGCTCAAACCGGAGTGTTGCTAACACTGGCCCTAGCAAGAGCAGTGCGTCGCAGAATCTACCACCGGATCGGAATCGCGACCCACTGGGAAGATCCAGCGAGAAACTCAGTGGGCTGTGTCTGTGGGTTAATTTACTCGTCGAGCCCTTCGTCGCAAGCGACGGGTTCGACGAGAACGATGACCGGTCAGATTCATTACTGTCCCTTCATTGCATATTAGTTAGCATAGCATTTAGTATTTTAGCAGCGTCTTAATAGCCGAGCACTGCGGTCATTGACTACGCGAAGGAGGAAATCATTTAGGTTTGTCTGTACCACACTCAGCGCGGTAGTACCTACTGATTGAAATACTGTCCAGTGTTAGATAAAGCACGTCTCTGTGTGCTAATGATGATAACGTTTAGTATTGATTTAAAAAAACATTAAAAATACACACGTACAAGTCGTCGTGGCCTAAAGGATAAGACGTCCGGTGCATTCGTATGTAGCGATGCACCGGTGTTCTAAACCCCCTGGCGGGTACTTTGTTTCCTAATGAAATACGTACTTAACAAATGTTCACGATTGACTTCCACGGTGAAGGAATAGCATCGTGTAATTAAAATGAAACCCGCTAAATTATAATTTGCGTAATTACTGGTGGTAGGGCCTCTTGTGAGTCCGCACGGGTAGGTACCACTGCACAGTCTATTTCATCCGTGAAGCAGTAATGCGTTTCGGTTTGAAGGGTGGGGCAGCTCTTGTATCTATACTGAGTGAGACCTTAGAACTCATATCTCGAGTTGGGTGGCGCATTTACGTTGTAGATGTCTATGGGCTTCAGTACCCACTTAACACCAGGTGGGATGTGAGCTCGTCCACCTATCGAAGTAATAAAAAATACTTATTTTTAACGTTAAAAGAAAACCGATTGTAACAATAAAATGAGGACGTCATCAAGATAATCGAAGTCAATTGAATATTCATTATTACGGATAAACAAGTTGTGGTCGCATCTTGATTAAACATGATTTAATATATAATATACATACTTATTAAGAAAGAAAAAAAAACGAAGTAAAATTTCTTTCGTCAAAATTTCAGTGATAAAACTCCATCTCGAATCAGTTTTATTATTAGAAATCGCAACGGAAATTATATTTAAAGAAATGTTTGATATTTATATGAAGAACAGAAATATTTGAAGAAAAAAAAATATTAAATTGTTTGTAAGAAATATTTTCTAAACATTCGCACCATTTTGTTTTTTTTTCTTCTTCATAAAAAAAAAACTAAAAACAAAACAATTCGTATAATATCTTTAATTCATTTTAAACATTACATTCACATTTTTAATGTTTTATACAGCCTTGAAGCTATGTTTACAAACTCGAACGTTTGAAGTATACGATGGACATGTATGTGTAGTTTAGATTTCGTTCGTTTTTAATGTTATTAATGTAAAATATTAAATCTCTCACTGTTTTTGTTGATCCGCACTATATAATTTTTTTATTGCTTTGATTGGTATCCACCAACTGTGACTGTGGACTGTCAGCTCATCCGAGCTGACAGTCCACCTGGTGTTAAGCGGTTACTGGAGTCCATAGACATCTACGACGTAAATGCGCCACCCACTTTGAGATATCAGTTCTAAGGACTCAAGTATAGTTTTTAAACCACAAACGCATCGTTACACGTTTAAAAGCTGTTAAGGTTATATGAGACTTTCCTTGGCGACCGCAAGAAAGCAGAATTAAAAAGAACTTTAAAATGTTATTATTTTCAGTTCAGGTTCCGTAGTTAGGTTTGTTTGTTATTTTACTTCTGAACCACACTTATGACTTTGATAATTTTTCTAAGGAACTTTGTAGGGACCGATGATCAGAAAACTCTAGACATGCTCATGTTTCAAGCAGTTGCGAAACATAAGCATATGAATAATGCTCTCTATGCTCAGATATTCATATTTCAATTTAATGGTAATCAGAAACGTTCCATCTGGGGGGGGAGGGGGTGTCATTTGATACAGGCGTCCCTCGTATAACACGATCAGTTCGTACCGTGCTATACCGCGAAGTCGCGTTATACGATATAAAAATAAAGAATATTTGGCCTTATTTGGAAAATTATGCTTAATACGTGACATTTATATTTGTAATTAAAAGTTCGTTTTATTTGGTATTAGCATCAACAGTTCGATGTTTTTAATTGAACTTCAATTAAGCTTACTCCGTTCAAATAGCCATAAAGAAGTTTTTTTCTTGTGATATTTTTCCCAAATTTTGAATTTTAAATTTCTCTCTTGTAAAGTTTCAAAAAATGTCGCTTAAATCAAATCGCCTTTCGCCACTCGATATAAATAAAAGCAATGTATACTGCGTGTTATATCGAAAACGCGTTATACGAAACAAGGTATAGCGTGTAGTATGAAGACCATGTCTTGTGTTGTATCGAAACCGTGTTATATTTAGTAACCATGAAATAATATAAATAAAAGCAATGTGTACCGCGTTTTCTATCAAAAACATGTCTTAGGTGTAAAATTTTATGATACATAACAGCAGTTTCGTGTTATACGAAGGACACCTGTATTTTTTTTTCCTTTTTTCTCGATCCATTTTCGCTATAAAAACATTACGAACATAACACTAGACTATAGATATGTCACCGCGTCTGTTATCTCATAGTTGTTTTTTTGCTAACTTCATTCCGTTCGAAATTATGTAGGTCGTCGTCGTGGAGTCGCGGCCCCTACTATCGTACGAAAAGTCGATTTTATCGAAAACTTTTCTGAATCGAAATATTTACTATTTTTTTTTTTTTTTTTTTACTTTATGCACAAAGCAAAAGTTGTACACAGGCGGACTTAATGCCATGGGCATTCTCTTCCAGTCGACCATAGGGTGGTGCAGAGATAATGCATGGTAGGTGCATTAACAAAAGAATAACAAACAACAACAAAAAAAACAAAAAGAACAAAATCAAAACAAAAATCTTCCTTAAAGTAACATCTCAGTATTATATAATACACATAATGTTAAATATAGGTACTTATATAGATTACATATGACTTTGTATGCATAAATAAATATACTACAATATTTTTTTCCACTTTTTTTAAGTTTCTTAGAGAAACTTTATTTTAATTCTACGTATGATTCTTAATAATTCAGACCGAATATTTTTTTATTGCCTTCAAGTCGACGATTAGTGGCTGGCTATCGTATATAAGCCAGATGGGACAAGCATATCACAGTCTACCTCAGAGTTCTTCCAAACCTCGTTTGATTACGTCCGTATACATTTTGAAGTCGTCGCGGCCTAAAGGATAAAGCTGCTTTCAGACTACGCTTTAATATAATAAGCATATCTTATATCTTTAAACGAGCAATTCTTGTATATAAAAATATATATAATATATAATCTGAATCTCGGAAACGGCTCCAACGATTTTCATAAAATTTAGTATGCAGGGGATTTCGGGGGCGATAAATCGATCTAGCTACGATTTATTTTCAGAAAAGGTTGTTTTATTCGTGTTTTCAATAATCAAATTTATCGATAATCAACTCTATGACTCTTCCCGACATTCTATTGGCGAATAATAATACTATTTTTCTTAATTGAGAGCAACTAACTGCTTTAAAGACACAATAACACTAACCGGTGCGGACTCACAAGAGGTCCTACCACCAGTAAAAATATAGTATACCGTATCACTATAGTATAGCGTAGTCTGAAAGCAGCTTAAGACGACCCGTGCATTTGTATCTTGCGATGCACCGGTGTTCGAATCCCGCAGACGGGTACCAATTTATCTAATGAATTACGTACTTTACTAATCAGAAGGCAGATTACCAAGCAAATGAATCCCGCATTATCGTAGAGCCCACGTTAAAGCAACATCGGATCCCGAATTTTCGCATTGATCCACAGCGCGTTTCCAGAGATCATTTTTGCCACGTACCATCCGGCTTTGGAATGAGCTCCCCTCCACGGTGTTTCCCGAGCGCTATGACATGTCCTTCTTCAAACGAGGCTTGTGGAAAGTACTTAACGGTAGGCAGCGGCTTGGCTCTGCCCCTGGCATTGCTGACGTCCATGACCGACGGTAACCACTTACCATCAGGTGGGCCGTATGCTCGTCTGACTGTTCGGGTGATAATTTTTTTTACCGGTTTCACTTCTGCCACGTGTGAGGCAATTTTTATTTATTTAGCAATTCCAAAATATCCCATTTTGCACTCCGCTGTGCCATTGGAATTTCGACCTAATCACTCTGAGCGAATGGCTTTATTCGCGTCGCTCATAAAATAAATTCGCCAAACAGATGGAATGCTGAAAGAAATCAACCAACGCCTTCGATAAATTTAATTATTTAAATACCTGTTAGGTGTTTTGTAAACAAACACGCTGACGTTAGGGAAATCACGTCTCGATGCGGCCCTGAAGGTTCGTCAACACAAATGGAGTGCACGTACATTACAGAGACGGACTTTGGAGGTTAGGTCGCGGGGCCCGTGTACCAAATTTATTAAGTACTAACGACCCGCCCTTGCTTCGCTTCGGAAACATTAAATTTTATTATTGATAGCTGAGAGCTCCCACCATGCTACCCGCGCTTATTGTCGTACCCCGGGTGACATTACAAACAGACACTCCAATTTTATTTACATGTATAGATGTATAGATTTTTTTAGTTGGATTTTCTATAAAAGCATATTTTGTTAGTTTTTTTTATATTTTTAATTTTTTAGTTGAATTTAAATTTTATTCAACAATTTTTTTAATATTGAACGTCATCGGCCCTTAATAAGTATACCAAATTTCGAGTTAATCTGACGTTTTGAAGGGCATAAAATCATGTCTAAAGATTCCATTACATACTAACATACATACGTCTGAAACTAATAAAAGCGTATTAAAAATGTGCACATGCAAAAATAAACTTTACTACAACCACTCAAAATTCCGTTTCCAACGTGATAAAAATCTGCTCTCCTCTCCGAGCCGGTCTGTGTGAACGGACCCTTACGATTACTGACTAACTTGTGGGGGGGCAGTAAAAAAAACATTTTTATTTTAGACCACAGTCTGACCACCCTGAGTTCGTCCGGTTTGGCACAAATACTGCTCGCGTGCGTACGACGCGTAAGCATTTTGTGTAACATCGCACGGTGCATTGACCCCAGGAGATAATTTTATTACGAAGGCAATATCTAATCGCGATTCATAATGAGTTTTACCCCAGTTTCTTATTAGATTAAGGTTGAGAATCGCAAATCGCGTATTTGATGGATTTGTGTTAAGATATAAAATAGTGAAGTCGTCGTGGCCTAAGGATAAGACGTCCGGTGCATTCGTATGTAGCGATGCACCGGTGTTCGAATCCCGCAGGCGAGTACCAATTTTTCTAATGAAATACGTACTTGGCAAATGTTCACGATTGACTTCAACGGTAAAGGAATAACATCGTGTAATAAAAATCAAACCCGCATAATTATAATTTGCGTAATTACTGATGGTAGGACCGCTTGTGAGTCCGCACGGGTAGGTGGTAGCACCACCCCGCCTATTTCTGCCGTGAAGCAGTAATGCGTTTCGGTTTGTAGGATGGGGCAGCCGTTGTACTTATACCTAAGACTTTAGAACGTATATCTCAAGGTGGGTGGCGCATTTACGTTGTAGATATCCATGGGCTTCACTAACCACTTAACTAACACCAGGTGGGCTGTGAGCTCGTCCACCTATCTAAGCAATGAAAAAAATATTGAATTATTTGAATTTTTCTGAGGGTAACGAAGAAAGGGACGTTGTTACGTTGAACGGGTTTTTTTTTTTGTAGAACAATGTTATGCTTTTTTTTTAAATTCTGCGAAGCACTGCTCTTGCTAGGGCCAGTGTTAGCAACGTTGTCAGGTTTGAGCCCCGTGAGCTCATCTACTAGTTAAGGTTACGCTGAAATGATCTCTCAATACCATCAGCTTAGGTAGGAAGAAAAATGTTACGAATTTATCTAAACGAATAATGTATTTAACAAATAAATCTATGACATTAAATTTTAAAACGTATGTTTTTTGGAAACACTTTGAAATTGTAGGTAGGCAGCAAACTGGTATTACTGATTTTTGTGAAATATCAACAATGGTCCCTAGTGCTGCCACCTAGTATGAATCTATGTAAAGCTATAAACTAAGACTTCCGTTTTTTTATAGCTTAGATGGGTGGACGAGCTCACAGCCCATCTGGTGTTAAGTGGTTACTGAAGCCCATGTACATCTACAACGTAAATGCGCCACCCACCTTGAGATATAAGTTCTAAGGTCTCAAGTATAGTTACAGTCTACTACATATTCCGGCGTCTTAGTAACAGAAATCGGCATAATTATGTACTTCAGTTCGCCGCGTAGTGCGCCGGTGACCTACCCCACAGTCAAAGAGTTAGCGAGCACATCTATCAGGCTGTTGATAAGATATCCTTCAAGCAATACTCACGGGGCGTGAAGAAACCCTTAAACTGTAATGTAGTTAGTTCTAAGAGAATAACGATAAATTGAGCATAAGAACTTATTTCGGGTAAGCCCATATTTTGTGAAGCGCCGTGTTCGCCTGAGGTCAACGACCTATTGAAATTGCGTGATACATTGCGTGATTTTTTTTTATTATTTTTATTAATACGCTTTTATTAGCTTCATACGTATGTTTGTAACGGAATCTTTGAACATGATTTTGATCCCCTTCAAAACGTCGGATTAACTCGAAATTTGGTATACTTATTAAGGATCGACGACAATTTATAACAAAAAAAGAAAATTTAAAATACAACTAAAAAATGAAAAATAAATATTAGTTTAAAAAAACTAACAAAATACGCTGTTATAGAAAATCCAACTAAAAAATAGTAAATAAATTTTAATAAATTTGTATTAAAAATAGTGTAAGAAAATCATTTTCTCTTATCTATTTTTAATTCAAATTTGTATGCGACTTGAGTTCTATTAAGCCGTAACTGTGTGCTTAGTGCGAATTTTTTTAATATTCTCGATAGCGTAAAAGTTAACTCATAATTTGTATGGAGTTAGGACAGCGCCCCTAGTGGCAAACGAAGGCAAGCACACTGATAATGGGAATGAGTTGCTCGCTTCGGGCATTTCAACATTGCAATAATTGTTACGTTAGAATACTCATTGTAAAAATGAATATTTAAAAAAAAATCTAGTATTTAAAAAAAGAAAAGAAAAAGACATGCCCGCTGTGTTCCTTGCCAGTTCTTCTCAGGACGGAGGCTAGTTTTTTGCTGAATTGATGGTAGTTCTTTTTGACTTTCAACAAGTGTGTACCTTCATTTATGTTGAATAAAATTTTTGGATTTTGATTCGATTTGATTTAATGTTTTTCAATTGTCTCATGTTACAGCGTAAATCGGAGCCTGTGATATTAGAGTATTTCGAGCATGGAGACACGAACGCGGCCGCCGAGGAGTTCCTAGACTTTGTGACGGCGGCGAGGAGTCATTTAGTAAGGCTGAAGCCTGTCTTTATTTATTTTGTGCTGTCTGTCTATGTTTGTCAGACTTTCCAGGGCGTTTTTTTCCCTACCTAAACTGATGGTCTAGAGCAGTGGTGGGCAAACATTTTTAATGGCGGGCCACAAAGTTTAAGTAATTCTAGAGGAGGGCCAGAATTATAGAAAAATGATTTTTTTTCCCAATAAATAAACTAATACCTGTGACAGACTGCCGAGATTCTTATACCTTTAAACGAGCAATTCTTATATATAATCTGAATCTCGGAAACGGCGCCAACGATTTTCATAAAATTTTGTATACAGGGGATTTCGGGGGTGATAAATCGATCTAGCTACGATTTATTTTCAGAAAATGTTGTTTTATTCGTGTGTTCAATAATCAACTCTTCCCGACATCTATTGGCGAATAATAATACTATTTTACTTAATTGGGGGCAACTAACCGCTTTAAAGACACAACAAGATGGCGTTATCAAAAAAAAAAACCCAGCAAAGCTCGGTCATCATCTATAATTATAACGATGGCAAGTTAATTATGAGATAATGAAAGCTCAAAACACCCCTGACGAATTGGAGCTTTCATTAAAAATTCGAAGATTTTTCAATTATAAACGTCAGATTTTATTTTACGCGCCAAAATGCTGACTAGAATATTTAGGATGGATGGATTCTCGGCGGGCCGGATTTAATACTTCCGCGGGCCGTACTTTGCCCATCACTGGTCTAGAGAGACCATGTCAGCATCACTGGTCTAGTAGGTGAGCTCACGGGGCTCAAACCTGACGATGTTACTAACACTATCTCTACCAAGATCAGTGCTTCGGTGAATCTACCACCGGATCGGAAACGCGACCCACTGAGAAGATCCGGCGAGAAACTCAGTGGGCTGTGTCTATGGGTTAATTCTCTCGTCGAGCCCTTCGTCGCAAGCGACGGGTTCGACCAGAACGATGACCGGTGCTTGAGGTACCTAAAAGCACCGTTGGTGCGCGGGTAGAGAGCGATCAGGCTGGTAGTGTGCGAAAGAGACGACGCTCTACAAAATTAGTCGACTGTCTCTTTCTAAAGGACGATGGGGAACGTTTAACGCCACGCACTGTAGTAAGATCTTACAACTGATGTCTCAAGGTGGGTGGCGGCATTTACGTTGTAAATGTCTATAGGTTCCGGTAACCAATTGATACCACTTGGGCTGTGAGCTCATCCACCCATCTAAGCAATAAAAAACTAACAGTTTCGTCTGTACACGTGTAAACAACCCTGTTCGCTTCAGGTGTGCGAGACAATTGTGGAGATAGCGTTGGATCACAAGGCGATGCACTGCGAAATGGCCTCGGTCCTCATATCCGATCTGTATGGAAGAGTTTTTTCAGCCAAAGACATCGGCTACGGTGAGTTTTAAAGTTTTTCACACAGCCACTCGCAGACGAGGGTTTTTTTTCGTACCTCTCTGTCAAACAACAAAGCCAGAGGTTCTTATTTAAGCCTTTGTCAAACAGAACGCGCACTTAGCACCGCGTACTTAACGTCGCGCTCTTCAAATTGACTAGATGAGTCTAACGCTCCTTGACGCAACGCATTCGCCAAATCATAGTGCCTTTCGATAGCAGTGTGAAAATTTAAAAGTATTAAGAAATCGAGTGATTCAGATGTGGCATTGTATAAGCATGGGTATTTTCTAACTATTTATATCATTTTTTCGGGCATTATCTAGTATTTTAATACACATTCACTCGGAAGCTAAAACAATTTGTAAAAAATTACAACGCCTGACGTCAAAGCGTCCTAACGCCGCGACAGAGCGCTGCGTACTTATAGTGCTCGGGCTCTGTTTGACGGTATGTTACCATAGTAGTACAACACATCTCGGCGTCATAGCGCGGCGTCAGTTTAGCGCTCTAACGCGCGCTAATTACGCATTCTGTTTGACGAAGGCTTTACATTTTTTGTTTTAATTTTAATTTATAGTTTGCCTGCCCATACTACATAAGGGGCTTAAAAGCTAGGTCACGCATTAATTCCGACGCATTCATTATCATACCAGTTCTCGCATTTATTATTCATACTTTGCATTCCTAGCTACGACTAAAAAAGGGTGANTTAGCGCTCTAACGCGCGCTAATTACGCATTCTGTTTGACGAAGGCTTTACATTTTTTGTTTTAATTTTAATTTATAGTTTGCCTGCCCATACTACATAAGGGGCTTAAAAGCTAGGTCACGCATTAATTCCGACGCATTCATTATCATACCAGTTCTCGCATTTATTATTCATACTTTGCATTCCTAGCTACGACTAAAAAAGGGTGAGGGGGCGGAGTAGGGCAATTGGGACCCATTTATTTCTATTATTTTTACATTTACAACTTAAACCTAGTACATTAGTGGTGTTTAAACTTAATCCTATTTACTTAAACTACGTTTTTTACAACAGTCTTTTTTTTTGTATTGCCCTTGTAGGCAGTGACGAGCCTACGTCTAACCTGATGGTGATTGGTTACCGTGACTCATGGATGTCAGAAATGTCAGGGACAAAGCATAGTCGCTGTCTACGATTGAGTACTCCGCATGGCTTGTTTGAATAAGATTTTGTTAACTGGTGGTAGGAAGTCTTGTCAGTCCGCTCGGGTGGTACCACCGCCCCGCCTATTTCTGCCGTGAAGCAGTAGTGCGTTTCGGTTTGAAGGGCGGGGCAGCCGTTGTAACTATACTGAGACCTTAGAACTGATATCTCAAGGTAGGTGGCGGTATTTACGTTGTAGATGTCTATGGGCTCCGGTAACCACTTAACACCGGGTGAGCTCTTCCATCCACCTAAGCAAAAGGACGTATTGGGCAGTGTCGGAATTTTGTCTTATATTCGAAACCGGATTACAGTGGGTCAGGTGGTTGGGTTGGGAAAATACTATTTACAATCTACCCCCTATAAATATTCAATCAACTCAATCGGATTAACCGGGCATCGTTCTCGCCGAACCCGTCGCTTGCGACGAAGGGCTCGACGAGTAAATTAACCCACAGACACAGCCCACTGAGTTTCTCGCTGGGTCTTCTCAGTGGGTCGCGTTTCCTATCCGGTGGTAGATTCTACGAAGCACTGCTCTTGCTAGGGTTCGTGTTAGCAACGTCGTCAGGTTTGAGCCCCGTGAGCTCACCTACTAGTTAAGGTTACGCTGATATAGCCTCTCAAGGTTCTCAGCTTCGGTAGGAAAAAAAAGCAATAGTTTAGAGTGAGAGCGCATGATCGCCGCCGCCATTTTAGATTCGATTCGTTTTTTTTTTTATTGCTTAGATGGGTGGATGAGCTCACAGCCCACCTGGTGTCAAGTGGTTACTGGAATCCACAGACATCTACGAAGTAAATGCGCCACCCACCTTGAGATATCAGTTCTAAGTTCTCAAGTATAGTTACAACGGCTGCCCCGCTCTTCAAGCCGAAACGCGTTACTGCTTCACGGCAGAAATAGGCAGGGCGGTGGTACCTACCCGCGCGGACTCACAAGAGGTCCTACCGCCATTGGCGCGGCTCGTACCTATAACGCCGGTCCGGTTTCTGTCGGTCAGCGTTCGAGCGTCTGCTGGAGAAGCTGCCGGACCTGGTGCTGGACACGCCGGACGCGGCGCTGCTGCTGTCCAACTTCATAGCGCGCTGCGTGGCCGACGACTGCCTGCCGCCGCGCTTCGTGCAGGCGCAGGCCGCCGCCGCGCTCTCCGCGCCCGCCAGGTGAGACACGACACGCGCCATCTATACACAGTCTATACAGTGATAGCTCTGTATTCGGTGGATGGAGGCTCAGCTCTGCCCCTGCCATTGGTCACGTCGATCGTCATCGTCGACATCGTCGTGGTCATCATCATCGTTGCCATCATCGTCATTATTATCATCGTCGCCATCATCGTCATTATTATCATCGTCGCCATCATCGTCATTATTATCATCGTCGCCATCATCGTCATTATCATCATCGTCATTATTATCATCGTCGTCATTATTATCATCGTCGTCATTATCATCATCGTCGTCATTATCATCATAATCATCATAATCATCATTATCGTCATTATTATCGTCGTCGTCATCATCGGTATCGTCACCATAATCATCATCATCGACGTCATTGTCGTCATTGTTATTGTCGTCGTCATCATTATCGTCATCGCCATCATCATCGTCGTCGTTATCGTCATCATAATCATCATCGACGTCATCATCATCATCGTCGTCATCATGGTCATTATTATCGTCGTCGTCATCATCAGCATCGTCATCATAATCATCAACATCGTCGTTGTCATCATGGTCATTATTATCGTCGTCGTCATCATCATCATCGTCATCGTCATTATTGTCGTCATCATAAGCATCGTCATCATAGCCATGAACTTCGACATCAGCATCATCATCATAATCATCATCATCGTCGTCATCATCATCATCATCATCATCAGGCCAGTTCTGCACTGCTGAACATAGGCCTCTCCCAATCTACACCACTGAGCCCGGTCTTCGGCTCTCCTCATCCACCTCCGGCCGGCCACCGTTCGGCACTAAACCGGCGAGTCCGCGACGGTAACCACTCACCATCAGATGGGCCGTATTCTCGTCTGCCTACAAGGATAATAAAAAATACTGCAGGATATGTTTCCTGTAAATATGCTGCGAATAGAGGAACACGTGAATGTGGAATGGTGATTTACATCTCGTCTTCTCGCATTAAAACTGTATAATCTCAAAACTCACTAACTTTACAGGAGAGTGTTTTAAACATGTTTAAACAAACGTGTTTAACATGTAATCTTTTTAATATTAATCATTTTTGCAACATTTATTTTTTAGTTTTTACTAGTTACATTATCTGTCTTTTAAAGTAAGATAAAATTATGTATTAATTTTGTTAATGGTAGTGACAATATAGGAAAAAAAAATTTAAAAAAAAATATATACAACGCTCTTTTGACAGTATTTATGAGAAAAATACTGTTGATACCAACTGATTCCGCATATTAACTCAATTTCGAATATTTTTTGAAATTGTACACTTTTAATGCGATAAGACGATATTATAATTATGAAATAATAAAACACGCGAAGCGACTCTTTATCTAAGGACGGAACGTCAAAATGTGCCGCATTAAAAAAATTNAAAATATATACAACGCTCTTTTGACAGTATTTATGAGAAAAATACTGTTGATACCAACTGATTCCGCATATTAACTCAATTTCGAATATTTTTTGAAATTGTACACTTTTAATGCGATAAGACGATATTATAATTATGAAATAATAAAACACGCGAAGCGACTCTTTATCTAAGGACGGAACGTCAAAATGTGCCGCATTAAAAAAATACTTTATGTACTGAATAATAAGGTTGATTTCATTTTATTTGTTTAAATTCTCAAACAACCCCGAATAAAAAAATCTTTATATATAGGAGTTGGGTCGGATTATTTTGAAATTGCAAATAAGGATCTTTTTTTGTTGCCCTTGCAGGCTGACGAGCATACGGCCCACCTGATGGTGAGTGGTTACCGTCGTCCATGGACTTCAGCAATGCCAGGGGCAGAGCCAAGCCGCTGCCTACCAAACTTAACTGTACACACACAAATAATGTTCACAAAAAAAAAAAAAACAATTGAACTTTAAAATTAATTATTGCGACAATACCGCCATATTTAAATCTTATTATTTTTTATTTTACTTCCACAGACAAGCTATACACAGAGCTGAGACTCTACTATCTATGAAGCAAGGGCTAGTGAGGCTGGACAACATATGGGGCGTCGGCGGAGGTATCAGGTAATAAAAAACAAATTTTGTTTAATGGCTTAGGATTCTGTTCTTTTGAGCCAATTTCTTTTTGCATAGATGGGTGGACGATCACACAGCCCACCTGGTGTTAAGTGGTTACAGAAGCCCATATACATCTATAACGTAAACGCCCTTCAAACCGAAACGCATTACTGCTTCACGGCAGAAATAGGCAGGGCGGTGGTACCTACCCGTGCGGACTCACAAGACGTCCTACCGCCAGTAAAATTATGATTATATAAAATAGGTTTCCGAAGTTTCCAATTTTTTCGGTTTAAAGGGTGGGACAGCCGTTGTAACTATACTGAGACCTTGGAATTCATATTTCAAGGTGGGTGGCGGCGTTTACGTTGTAGATGTCTATGGTCTCCGGTAACCATTTAACACCAGGTGGGCTGTGAGATCGTCCACTCATCTATGCAATATAAAAAAAAAACATGTGCAATTCTCACGTTGTAGAAGTGAAACCTTCAAAAATTAAAATGCAATTATCCTAAATGTCTAAGTATATGTAAAATTTTGTCATTAGTAAATAATTGTAAATCATCTTTTATAGTATGAGGTAGCGCAATCTCATTCTGTCGCCGGCTGAATCCTATATATTTATGTGTTGCGTCTCTATGGACTTATTTTTTCGTTTCATCGAGTTTGAAATCACAACCTTTCAAAAGAAGTTTCACCTTAAAAAAATTACGTGTTCGGTCACTAATATCTTGTCCCCTACCGCAGGCCGGTCAAGTCTCTGATCCGTCAGATCCAATTGCTGCTGAAAGAGTACCTGACGTCAGGCGAGCTCGCGGAGGCGATGCGCTGCGTGCGCGAGCTGGAGGTTCCTCACTTCCACCACGAGCTGGTGTACGAGGTGAGAGCCGTAGACTGTCTAGATATATATTTTTTTATTGCTTATATGGGTGGACGAGCTAACAACCCACCTGGTGTTAAGTGGTTAGTGGAGCCCGTAAACATTTACAAAGTAAATGCGCCACCCACCTTGAGATATAAAAAGCTGCCGACTGTCTACTGTTTGTACGCGGCGTTTGCCGTGACGCGGTCAGCGTAGCCAATGAACCCTCAGACACAGCCCACTGAGTTTCTCATAGTTACAACGGCTGCCCCACCCTTCAAACCGAAGCGCTTTACTGCTTCACGGCAGAAATAAGTGGGGGGTGATGGTACCTACCCGCGCGGACTCACAAGAGGTCCTACCACCAGTAATTACGCAAATTATAATTTTGCGGGTTTGATTTTTATTACACGATGTTATTCCTTCACCGTGGAAGTCAATTGTAAAAATTTGTTAAATACGTATTTCATTAGAAAAATTAGTACCCGCCTGCGGGATTCGAACACCGGTGCATCGCTACATACGAATGCACCGGACGTCTTATCCTTTAGGCCACGACGACTACAAAATATAATAACATTCTGCACTCCTTCTCTATATTCTCTATAAGTGTGGGTAATTTCATCATACTCCTCCGTCCGCGCAATTTTCGTAAAAAGTTGACAAAGTTTTTGCTTCACGTATTAATATATAGATAACAATTTTATTTTTTTTGTTGCTTTCAGACAATACTCCTGGCTTTGGAGACCATAAATTCTGGTGTTGAAGAACAGCTTTGTACTTTCCTGGCTGAGTTGCGGAGGTGCTGTATAGTCACGCCCGACCAAATGGACAGGGTGAGTGGCCGGTCCCAGTTTTTTATTGCTTAGATGGGTGGACGAGCTCACGGCCCGTGTTGAGTGGTTACCGGAGCCCGTAGATGTCTACAACGTAAATGCGCCACCCACCTTGAGATATCAGTTCTAAGGTCTCAGTATAGTTTCAAACCGAAACGCATTACTGCTTCACGGTGGAAATAGGCAGGGTGGTGGTAACTCATAAGAGGTCCTACCACCAGTAACAACTTTGACAATAGAACCATAATAATGTACAAACTTATAATTTCAATTAATTATAGTCGTATTTCGACTACCGGGAGACCACTAGTTTCATGGAATTAGAACTCATATCTCAAGGTGGATGGCGGCATTTACGTTGTAGATGTCTGTGGACTGATTTTACAAGGATTAGAAATTATATAAGACATGGCTTCAGCCTTAATTAAATTTTTATTTCAGAAATTATATAGAACAGACAAGGCTGTATGGGCTTAGATCCCCTTGCCTTTTCTAATAAGGAAAAATTTTACCAAAAAAGGGTGCATGTACTTATGTACTCGCGTAAGAAGTTATACTTTATTTTTATTAAATTTATTTCTTTTTTTTTTATTTAAATTTTAATCAATTTGAAAAAAAATCCTTTCAATCCGAATTTAAGTATAAATTCGGTAATTCTCGGTACGGTTCGGAAAGTTCACCTGCGGCTATATTCAGACTCGCCAAGTTACGTCGGTTGTATTGTAATGAGCGATTTAGTGGGCAACTTCATTTCTGTTAATTTTGTGTCACGGTGCGCGCGCATCGTCAAATTTCACTCTCATCAATGTTTCATAACGCGCCTAAAGAAGTATAACTTCAAAAAGAAAATGTCTATGGTCTGCTATGGTTATTAACACCAGGTGTGTGACTAACGTCCTCGTATCGGTTTTTGTCTCAGGGCTTCATCCGCGTGCTCGAGGATATGAATGATATCGTCCTGGACGTGCCTCTCGCTTACATCATGCTGGACAGGTTCTTGGAGCGGTGCCAGACGAGGTTCAGGCTCGGGGACAACGTGCTGAAGCGTGTGCCGACGAGGTGAGCCGAATGTACACGCAATTAGCGACCTTAATCTATAGGTGTTAAGGACTAAAATTGATTAAGCAAAATTTAGTATTTTGGTTGTGTTAGTCGTCGTGGCCTAATAGATGTCTGGTGGACGAGGTCAGCCGGATGTACACGCAATTACCGACCTTAATTAGAAGTCGTTAAGGACTAAAATTTACTAACCAAAATTGAGTATTTATTGGAATTTGGCAATATTTCAATAATTCACTAATCAGATTCCTTTTAAAGGACACATTGAATTATATTAGCTCTCAAGTCACTGTTTTTATGGGGTTTTATGACCTGGTAACTAAAACCTTTAGGTCACGGATGGACATGCAATTAGCAACGTTAATTAATAGCCGTTAAAGACTAAAATTTATTAAGCTAAATTTAGTATTTTGGTTGTGTTAATTTTAGTCGTCGTGGCCTGAAGGATAAGACGTCCAGTGCATTCATATGTAGCGATGCACCGGTGTTCGAATCCCGCAGGCGGGTACCAATTTTTCTAATGAAATACGTACTTAACAAATGTTCACGGTTATTGTTGTATTGCTTACTTCAAAAGTATATCTATCTCGTTCTCTCGTTACCGATATCCTGTAGACGTACGTTTTGTCTCTTTCTTTTCTATCGCTTTTTACTAATTAATACTGGTCGTCTCCTACCGGCAGAGGTCGCAAGCGCTTCGTGTCCGAAGGAGACGGGGGCGCCATCAAGGATCACGCGCTGAAGCTGCGCGAGTGAATGCGCGGACGCCTGCCGACACACAGACACCGGACACCCCTGGAGGCCGCGCCCCCCGCCCCCCTGCCCCCGCCGCCGCCCCCCGGGGACCGCACGGTTGCGAGAGTGCCTTACGACGCGCGGGCGCGGTGACGTCACAGCGGCTACATACAGCGTGTGTTTTTTGTTTCTCTAACGGACAATAAATTACACAGTGTCGGAATTTATTTGCGAGACGATAGTCATCGTCACTATCCGTGTATGAATCGCGTTGTAAAGTTGTAATGGATAGTGCGATACAGGGTGTTTCGGGACGATGCGCGGGCTCGGTGACGTCACAACGGCTACATACAGCGTGTGTTTTTTCTTTTTGTTTTAATTGACAATAAAATTAATTATCACTGACTTTGTTTGTGAGACAATGCTTCATCTGAATCTACTGTCTGTGTAAGAATCGCGTTGTAAAGTTGAAGCAGGTTACATTATACAGGATGCGCAGGGAATTTTGGTCTGAAGGTAGACGCCTGAACTTCACAAGTGGATTCGGTTGGAATTTAACAGAGATCGCGTCAGTCTGATGTCCACGGGCCGCTGTAGTGATGGCGCGCCGGGCTCGTTCGTCCGAACTGAGTATCGATAAAAGACAAAAATAAAAAAAAATGATAACCATTGAGCAATAATTTTTTAATAATCAAAACTAGATCCGATCTTCTGTCCGTATTAGTCTTGTAATGGCATTTGAGTATATAATAATATCGACGCTTGAAAGGCAAACGTGACAAAGCGACAATGCGTGAACTTTACAGTAGACTAATTTAATTAATTAATTAAATTAACTAAAAATAATTTAATTATAAAAATTTTACCTTGAAATTAATTTTAAATATACCTGAGAAATACCTGAAAAAAATTATATCTTAACGAATCTAGCTGTAGGATTGAAATGATTTTAATAGACCTAGAAATATAATTTTTTTTGCGCATCGAATATGGTTATTGCCTGTCATTTATGTACAAAGCAGTTATTGTCGCTTAGTCACGTTTGCCTTTCAAGCGTCGATCTGTATATATATTATATATATATCAAGGGCTGAAAAGCTATTTGTTTTAAGCGAAATTTTTGTAACATTACAGAAGAGAGCCATTTAAAGTTTAAAATTTTGGGAAAAAATCCTACAATTTTTTTTTTTGTTTATTTTAATAGAGTAAACTTAATTGAAGTTTCATTAAAAACATCGAACTGTTGATGATAAAATCTATACATATAAATAAAGTTGGAGTGTCTGTTTGTAATATTGAAATAACCGCTTTTTACTAAATGCATATACGGTACATATACCAAAATAACATTTTTTACAATTTTTATCTGTCTGTCTGTCTGTTTGTTCCGGCTAATCTTTGGAACGGCTGGACCGATTTTGACGAGACTTTCACTAATAGGTAGCTGATGATATAAGGAGTAACTTAGGCTACTTTTCTTTAGACTAGCTTCGCTCTGCGGCTTCACTCGCGCTACGACAATAACGCGGGTAGCATCGCGGGACTCAGCTATCAATAATAAAATTTAATGTTTCCGAAGCGAAGCGAGGGCGGGTCGCTAATACCAAATAAAGCGGACATTTAATTACAAAGATTTAATATCGCTTAAAACCAATAGCCTTTTCGTTCTTTGATATATAAAATGTGTTATTTAAAAAATATATATATGTATAAGTGATGCGCGTGTTTTGTTTGGATACGAATGTGTGAATGTTTATATTAAATGTTGACAGTTGAGAGTTTAAGGGTAGGATAGAGTAAGGGTCGGGTCACACTGGCAGCGATTGTCGTCTCAAACCGCTCACGCTACGTTCGACTCGTGACTTTATACGCTGCGTGTTAAGTTGAGTCCTCGCTCGTGCGGCTTCCACAGACTTCAGTGTCGGCTTAGCGTCGGTTGAACTGTGAGCTCGAGTGTCCAACGATAATCCCGGTAATGTGAAGATAGGTCTCGAAGCGAAATGAATATGACCCCCCCCCCCCTTCTCCGCTAGAACTCGGCGGATCCCGGGAAACCACCACCCGCAATGGATGCACTTATAAAACTTGAGGCATTGCAGCATATTGAGTATATACAGGGTGTCCAAGAAAGTATGGATAATCCTGAAACACCTTATAGTAGAGCTATTGGGGGCACAAAAAAAAATTGGTCTCAGGAAAACAAAAGATCGCTAATCCTGATTATCTTAGTAAGGATAACGGATCAAACTGTTTAAAATATTGTATTGTCATCGGTCCTTATAAAGTATGCCAAATTTCGAGTTATTATGACGTTTTGAAGGGGGTCAAAATCATGTTCAAAGATTCCGTTACAAACATACGTCTGAAGCTAATAAAAGCGTATTAAAAATGATTCAAATTCAATGAACATCATTATTGACTATGACGTAATTACTATACGCTTATTATGTATTGTACGTCCCACTAATTAGGTATGTGTTCAGATTCGGTTCAGTTTGCCTACGTTTACCGCTAGGGGCGCTGTTCGAGCTCCATACGAATTTGAGTTAACTTTTACGCTATCGAGAACGTTAAAAAACTCGCAATAAGCACACTGGGACGTTATATGAAAACGCCTTGACGTACTTGAGACCTTAGAACTTATATCTCAAGGTGGGTGGCGCATTTACGTTGTAGATGTCTATGGGCTCCGGTAACCACTTAACACCAGGTGGGCTGTGAGCTCGTCCACCCATCTAAGCAATAAATAAATAAAACGCCCACGTCGCATATGCCTGACGAAGTGATGATAATTAGTTTTGTTTTTGTTTTGATATCAATCAAACAAATTCGAGATTCGTTGAATTGTATTATTATATTAAAATGTGTGTTAGACTAAAAAAAAAAAATTATTGCTTTGGTGGGTGGAGGAGCTCACAGCCCACCCGGTGTTAAGTGGTTACTGGAGCCCGTAGACATCTACAATGTAAATGCGCCACCCACCTTGAGATATCAGTTCTAAGGTCTCAGTATAATTGAATATGCAATTTCCAAAAAGGCACATACATCTCTGAAAATGTGAAATGTTCAGGAAATGAAAAAAAAACTGATTATTTTCTAAAGCAGTGTAAAATTTTAAATATTAACTTTCGAGATATATTTTAGTGTTAATTAGCAATTGAAAATTACTGGAATTATTATAAAATGGGTGTAGGTATAAACCTCAAAACTACATGACGTATATGAAAAAACCTATTTGACAAAATATGCGACATGTGCCCTTTTCGAAATTTCATATTCAGTTACAACGGCTGCCCCGCCCTTCAAACCGAAACGCATTACTGCTTCACGGCAGAAATAGGCAGGGTGGTGGTACCTACCCGCGCGGAGTCACAAGACGTCCTACCACCAGTACTTTTACGGATTTAATTTCGCGTTTTTTTTTTTAAATGGCATTATCATTGTTTATGACGCTTCGAGAATGATTGCGAATGAATACTGCGACTCGGTGTGTCTGGTGAATGTTATGTCGTTTTACCCACCGGGATGGGACGATCCCGTAATCCCGCGGGATCATAATATATGCGATATTAATGACGTTTTTTTTTTCATTCTTTAACTTTTTTTTTATATTTTTCCGCTTACGTTGTGGTGTCTGTGTGTTAATTTCTTTCCTTATATAAAAGTATTGTAAACAAAACAAAAAAAATATATAAATAATAAAAATATGCCTTTTGTTTTATTTACATGGTGAAAGTTTGATAGTGTGATTTTAGGTTGATAAATCACAATGGATCTTTTTGGGATGAATCTTTTAAATGTGCTCGAGAAGTTGGTGTATTAAGTCAAGGTTTTTTTATTGCTTAGATGGGTGGACGAGCTCACAGCCCACGTGGTTACCGGAGCCCATAGGCATCTACAACGTAAATGCCGCCACACACCTTGAGTCCTACCACCCACTCACTGGTGGTAGGTACCAGCGCCCTGTCTATTTCTGCCGTGAAGCAGTAATGCGTTTTGGTTTGAAAGGTGGGGCAGCCGTTGTAACTATACTTGAGACTTTAGAACTTATATCTCAAGGTGGGTGGCGCATTTACGCCGTAAATGTCTATGGGCTCCAGTAACCACTTAACACCAGGTGGGCTGTGAGCTCGTCCACCCATCTAAGCAATAAAAAAAAAAGACATGAGTTGAAAGATCTCACTACAGTGCGCGGCGATAAACGTTCCCCATCGTCCTTTAGAAAGAGACACGGTTAATTTCATAGAGCGTCGTCTCTGTCGCACACTACCAGTCCGATCGCTGCCTACCCGCTCTACGGTGCCTTTAGGTACCCCAAGCACCGGTCATCGTTCTCGCCGAACCCGTCGCTTGCGACGAAGGGCTCGACGAGTAAATCAACCCACAGACACAACCCACTGAGTTTCTCGCCGGGTCTTCTCAGTGGGTCGCGTTTTCGATCCGGTGGTAGATTCTGCGAAGCACTGCTCTTGCTAGGGTTAGTGTTAGCAACGTCGTCAGGTTTGAGCCCCGTGAGCTCACCTACTAGTTAAGGCTACGCTGAAATGGTCTCTCAAGACCATCAGCTTAGGTAGAAAAAAAGATGTTTTTGGGGCGTCCTGTGAGCCCGCCCGGGTAGTTACCATCACTCTGCTTACTTCTGCTACGAAGCGATCACGCGTTGTGGTTTATGTACATACCTTTACGAACTAATTAAATTTACTACAAAAGCTGGAGAGCAGCAGTAAAAATATCAGTTTTCAAGTAAAAGAAAATTCAAGGTAGTACCTAATACTTACTTTCCCAATATATCGACAGTTCGATGTTTTTAATTGAACTTTAAGGTTGCTACATTCGAAAGGTTGAAGTTTTTTTATTATGACTTTTTATTGCATAGATGGGTGGACGAGCTCACAGCCCACCTGGTGTTAAGTGGTTACTGGAGCCCATAGACATCTATAACGTAAATGCGCCACCCATCTTGAATAAGTTCTAAGGTCTCAAGTATAGTTACAACGGCTGCCTCACCCTTCAAACCGAAACGCATTACTGCTTCACGGCAGAAATAGGCAGGGCGGTGGTATCTACTCGTGCGGACTCACAAGAGGTCCTACACCATCATTCATTGCTCTAATTATAATTTTGCGGGTTTGATTTTTATTACAAGACATTATTCCTTCACCGTGGAAGTCAATCGTGAACATTTGCCAAGTACTTACCTACGTATTTCATTAGAAAAATTGGTACCCGCCTGCGGGATTCGAACACCGATGCATCGCTAGATACGAATACACCGGACGTATTATCCTTTGTATAGTATGTACATATTTCTAAAACTATTTTCTGATTAAAATATTCGTGGCGGGCCGCGTGAACACCAGCATGTGGCCCGCGGGGCATTATCTAGACAGCCCTAATCTGAAACGTCAACTGCGATTAGCTTCCTCCTACGCTGTCACTATACGTTATTGCCACTAAAAATCGAAAGTATTCTTACATTATAGCAAACTGGACACATTCATTTTGTTCTGTATCCAAATATTATTTTTCCCATTGTTTCCTTACTTGAGCCTGTACGTATTTTGTCTTTTCTTCTTGTTTTTATTATAGTTTTACATTAATTCCTACGTACCCAGCCTCAAATCTCACAATAAATCAAAGGGTTGGGTTAAAATCAGCGTTATACGACGCGTCCACTTTGAATGGCGTCAACTGAGCCCATAACTTCTTTCAAAGCCTTTACTCTCTCTCTCTCACTCATTTATATACCTGTAATAATCTAAATTTACGTGAAACGTCTTTTTCTTCTTATTTTTAATATTATTATATCCGCAAAAATAATTCTGATCGCGACGA